TTCAAGATTCAGTACGCTTGTCTTCCCGTTGCTGTTCCTCATGGTCGTGTGCATGTAGTAGTTGTCGACTACTGCGCCTGCCACACGAAACAGGCTTCTTCTAGGAAAAAATTGACAGCATGTGTTTGCGTTTACAGTTTGCATCTCATATCATTTCAACATTTCATACCATCCTATGCCATGTCACATCATCTCATATAATGTCAGGTCATCGCACACCATCCCATACGATCTCATATCATCTCATATCAAACAAAGGCTTGCTCCAGTAGAGTCTCAATCCTGTGTTTAACCCTGTTTCGTGTGACAGGCGTGGTATTTCCGGTATGTTCGCCAGTGCTACTTTAATCTCCTACTTCCCGCGCAAGAACCTCACGAAGCCGAAAACAGCGACTAGCGTGTCCAAGCCCCAGTTTAAAGCAATTCCAAACTGTAAACGCAAAAAACATGCTGTCATTTTTTTAAGAAGCCTGTTTCGTGTGGCAGCGCACTAGATTCGACATCAACATCTGTTTTCCAAGGCCCAGTTGTCCCCCCACGAGGATGTTGATGTTATCAAGCTGCGAGCAACACGACTGCTTCCCATGGGAAGTTGCAGCCTCTCTCTATAATATGGAGGGCGGAATGGGACAAAAGCTTGCCGTTTTTGCCAAATTTGAGTCGAAGGACATCACGTCGCTGTCGTCGGCTGACGCTAGAATCAGCTAGGTTCTGCTGCGCAAACAGGGTTTGCTGGCTGCAGACCAGGACTATGGAAGGCTTCAAGACCGTTGCAAAGGGACTCTGCATTATGGATCATCATGACTGAGCCCTTCTTGAGGGGAGCGCAAAGACAGAACAGTTTTGTCATAGTGCAGATCTTTCTGTGTGAAGGTCCAGCATATGCACCAGCATATGCAGCCACATTCCTTTTAGCTGTTGCTAGGCAGCTCCCGGCATGAACATCGTAGTCCGGGTCTCGGAAAACGAAGACATCCAGACGCGTCGCTAGCCGCAGTTCTCTGGGCAGGTCCGGCCGGTTTCCCAATCGCAAGTTGCGATGCTGACTCAAGAGTTGAGGCCAACCGTGTCCAACAGTGTGTCCAGCAAGCTGAGTCCAGCCCGAAACCACCGGTGCCCGCAGAAGCCTTCAAAAGTGTGAAGTCCACGACACCTGCGGCAGGCAGAAGCAGCAGCATCGACCAGCTTCGCCACGTGCTGAGGCCCGGATTCAGAGCAGGGGCACAGGCGAATCGCAGGGGCTGCCGGCAGGAGGCGAGAGCAAAGACAGAGCAAGCATTGAGAGGAGCGGGGCCGGTAAACGGCGACCCAATGACTTCGTGAGGGTGGGTGGAAGGCCAATCTAGCTCCCGCCGCCCAAAGCAACGAGGCAAGGGTGAGCCCATCGCACCACACGAAATGACAGGCAAGGACCCCCGACAGCTTGGCGACAGAAGGATAGAAGGCGAGCTAGAACGAAGGCAATTGCAACGAGCCGGCCTGCACTGTGCTACAGGGCTCACAACTCACATCACACCGGCTTAAGAATGACGTTCGGCTCCGACCTGTTGCACTCTCATGCATGGCTTTAGGGTATTGCTGGAGGCCGATCACACCACCGAGGAGCAGCTCAGGACGCACCCTGTGTCCACTGCATGCAAGAGCTTGTTGCGGCATGAACGAAAAGAGTCAGTGCTTGAAGCCGCGCAGTGATCGCCAGCAAGGAGCTGCCAGGTCGAGCTTGCAGGGCTCCAGAAGGAGGCCCTGTTTCTTGTCAGGATTCTCCAGAAAGGTGGGGGTATGTGGCATCATATCTTACGGCTCCACGCATCGTATCTTGCGTATCCTTCTAGGCACACATATATCGAAAACTTGTACCAAGCGTTTTCACGTTTTGCATAAACGTGCGCCTGGACGGCCCCGTGCACAGACCTGTACGAGCCTTACGACATCAACACGTCTACGCTGCCGACGGCGGGCCTGTGGCCCGTGTATACGAGCCCGTGCGGGTCGTGCGACGTATGGGCTTAAAACATGGGCACGCAAAACTCATGATATGACTTAAAAACATGGTGTATGATACGTCGGTTTACTCAAGGGTTTCCAAACTCAGTTCCAGAACATGTAGCTTTACGTCGTGGCCCGCACAGCCCGAGCACCAGTATGAAGCTTTGCTCGAGGTAGACTCGCTCGGGCAAGTCTGCCGCGACTTCCAAGTCTGAGCGTGTTAAGGCGATTGGGCTTAGCGAGCTTCAGAAGCCACATGTACAGCTTCAGCCGCCGCGACAGTGTTTGGCTGCTTACCTAACAGTTGTGTCCTGGCGACGCTTCACGGCAGCTTTGCGCCATCTACATGTGATGGTGACGGACTCGCCGTAGGCAAGCAGACAGAGTCGATCCATATTGGTTGAACTTAAGCCCATGCAAATCCGATCGACCCTGTGCCGGCTGTGCTAATGGTTTTACGTTCCGCGGTGTTTCAGGATGCCTCGTCCTCAGCAAGTAACGAGCCACATCCGTTCCGCTGCTTGCTACTGAACGGGAAAGTGCGGGCCAGTATGCCAGGTACAAGTAGAATGCATCTTCGCAAGCATATGCTGACTGCTCGCCTCGCAGGCATCTGAGCGGGTAAGCACTCCTAGCATCGAGGGTCCCTTCCAGCTGAATCAAAGTGAGGAGGCCAGGCTTCCCCAGTTCCCAGCAGTGTGGATGCCTACAGCAGATTGCAGCCTCTGTATAACTGGTGCAGGTGCCTCTTGTTTGCTTTCAATTCAAGATGTCTCACTTCGTTTGCAAGGCGTGGCTTGTTGTCATGCGATGTGAGGTGAGATCGCTTGGGGATGTCACAAGCTGCCACAGCAAGGCCTTCCTGGCTGCTGGAGCCGACGAAGGCCCTCGTAGCGACTTCCTTGACCGAGCTCGCAGTCGGCAAGACAAAGCCTTGACCAAGGCACGCGCCATCTGAAGCTTCAGACCATATTCGAGGACAACCGGCAGGGGCTCGTCGAAGAGCACAGGCAGAGCTCCAGCGAGTCTCAGACACAGCCAGTGACGGCAGCATAGGACTTAAGGCTGTTAAGGGTATTCGACTGCAACTCCTGCGGTTGCCTTGCCATGCCTTTTGCAGGTATTTCATGGCGAACGAGTGGAACTCGAGCAAAGCGTGCCCGATGCAAGTGTGCTTATGATGTAATGTCTTCAGCGGTTTACAGACCACAGTGACCACGAGGCAAAGGATAGGAACTAAACTTGGTTGCCGCGGCGGAGAAATCTGAGCGGTGAACCGAGTTGGCTTGCGAGCATTGGCTCAACTCCAGCTCATGACAGCAAGGCAGTACAGTTCCTTCAAGATGCTTCGGCCAGTAGAGCTTCATGAGATGGTATTGCTCTTGCGTCTGACTTCCAGTAGACCCGGTGTACCACATGCTGCATGCACCCGCATCACGTGGAGTGCACGAACACTTCGTATCTCAACCCAATCTCTCCTGAAAGTTGCTACTGCTGGGAATGCGGTTAGTTCGTCATGACATGAAATCGTGTTCGACGACATTTGCCGATGTTCAAATTCCCTGCGGGCACTGACGCGCAGTCGCTGCAGACGTCCGCAGCGGACACTGGGAACAGAATAGGGATTGTGAAGCCTAGCCGGAAGTGCGCGCAAAGTAGCCAATGCCAAGGATTTGAAGAATGTGGTGGATTCGATCCTTGGTTCAATTGCCTGAGATGTCCTGGTTCGAGTGTGCCGATTCTTTAGAAATCTTCTGCCGACTTTATTGTCGGTCAACGAGACTTGAGGAATGCATCGGAGGAAGTGTCAGCAGATAGCGAACCCTACGTCGGTTCAGAGATTCGCCCGCTGGACACTTGACTTGGACCATGCGCCAAGAGTTCAATGTGGTGCTGGTCGCGTGAGAGATGCTGCTTTGCTGCGGGCAGGATGCATCCACTGCAGCGAGACTTTCATCGATTCCGTATCCGGGTCTGGTCATGCAGCTGCAAGCAGAGGAGGCAGGCTTTCGGCACGCAAGCTGCGCTTAAAGGAGTCAATGGAGCTCCAAGAAACCCATGACCATCCATGGCCTCAATGCTCGCAGGAACTGGACCTGCTGCTCTCAGCACTTGGCAGAAGGCACACAATCGTGCGAGAAGTATCCTGGTGAGTGTTGATGCTGGTCTCAAGTAAGTTCTCGTGAATGGTTGCAGCTTCGTCAGATGGGTCGTGCTGGAGCTCGGGGCGGCTTGGTCGGCTGCCAGCGCGGCAATGCGTGCCGAGTTTGAGGCGAAATCAGCTTATGGAGATTTCAGCAATCACTGTGCCTGCTCGAAGGTCTTGGCGAAGGCATACCCGACATGGGTGTTCTTGCGTGCCCAGGCTTCATTTCCTGGCGCAGCTATGCTGTGGAGTATGGGTTTTCGAGCTTCAGCTGAGGCGCGGACATCAACCAACTTCCTGGAGTTGCCCGGCGCTGGGCAGCCACGCTCGACACTTGGGTCTCTTTCGTGTCTCTGTTCCTTCCTCGCGAGCATAGGGTGACGGGCCATCTTCAAAGGCGAGTCCCGTGCTACATCTTCTTCTGGAAAGGGGTGGAGGACACTTGCGCACTTGTGCTGTGGCTCCGTGAATTCCCGGCATTAAGGTCTCCAGATCGAAGGGTCATGTTTGTGGACCTGCCTGCAGCCTGTACAGCTCAAGTGCGCTGCGATTTACTTTGACGCCTTTGCAGCCATGGGCGCACCGCCTCCAGCCGGAGCGTTGTTGGGAGCGCATCTTAAGCTCGGTCAAGGAGTTTTTGTCCGCGACACATAAGACTTAAGCAGACTCGTCTCGCGAGAAGAGTAGAAGCTCCCAAGCCATGATTTGGAGCTGAAGGTATACCGGAGTGGGAGCAATCTTGTCCTTCTTGTTCGGACGCGCGCCGGGTCAACTGCCGCAAGACATTGTTGCGGAGATGTGGTCAATATTTGTGGTGCTCGGCTTGTGGTCGGCCACATACAGCGTGCCGCAGCAGCATGAAGCTCGTGAGAAGCAAAAGAGCAAACTCGATTCCTGGCAGCTGTATGCTCTTGGCAGGTCTATGATGTCATGGGCGTCGGTGTTGCCAAGCAGAAACACGACTTGCACAAGATGTCGCTGAAAGACCGCCCCACTACGGAACCAGAGGAAGTCAAGCTGGCAGACCGGGCTCAGATGAACCAGGCAAGGCTTCGGCAGTAGCAGGTAGCAGAGAGATTCGATTGAACCTCCAAAGCAACCCCCCCAGGTTGAACAGGTGACGCCATTCTTTGCTGGTGCGCTGATGTTCGGCTTCCTCGTGCCTAGGTCCCGCAGTGGTATCCTTTGCCCTTTTATTTGGGGGTTCCTTAAGCTGTCTAAACGAAAGGAAACAGGTTCCTTTCTTTTCAGGGGATGCTGGGGAACCGAGGTGAATGGCAAAGTTGGGGGCGTTCTATCCCTGATCTACTTCACGTTGCGCAGGCTCTACTGCAGCACCTACCGAGCTTCAGTTGGGAAGTCATTGGAGAACGCTGGCCTCATCAAGTACACGGTCCCATGCTACTTCATTCTAAACGGCGTGCGCCCCAGTCCAAGTAAATAGTCGCGGCATCTCCAGCACGGCTCTGGAGAGGAGGCTTATTTCTCAATTCATTCCCGAATCGTCGCCTGGCCTGGGGTCTATCACTAGGAGACTCTAAAAAGGCTCCGGCCGAAAAAGTGGAACTGCATGTTTACCGAAATATGGTCAGTGCCTAAGTCGTTTCTGTGTGCTGCAAGCACTGAACTTACCAATGGCGATATAACATTTTTGATGAGCGCGTCAGCTTTTGGCCCGATGAGTTCAACGAGAAACGCAATGCATAGCTGCTGGTACAGACGAAAGCCTGATTGGTGGTTGATCTCGGATTCAACGTTAGGCCGATGTTCCGTTCCTTTTGCGGATGGATCCGTGCTCGTTGTGTGCATGTGTGTCGTGGCGTCGAGCAGCATCCCCTTCGTGTCCAGTGAGCACTTAGGCAGATGTAGGTTTAGAATGCTGTTGATACTTCTGTATTCTGGTGCGCCACCGCATTGCACTTTGAATGCAGAGAATGTGTTGAGTCCTTGTGGTCTGGACAGGGTGGCCTTTCGATTGCGGAGGGATCTGAAAGCGTAAATGAACCGACGAAGGACCCATCAATCTACTGGTAGTGCTTGTGATCTTGTGCCAATTTCGGTACCGGCAGTTCCGCTCGGAAGCACCCCTGCAAGCGCGCGTCAGGTAGCTTACTGGATGTCTTTTTGCCTTTGCGGCTTGTTTTTTGTCCGGACTTCTGCCAGACTGAGGCATGAACATGGCTGTCGTCGTTCACATGGCCCGGTATGCGCTGGGACTCTGAACCTGCCCTGCGCTCACAGCAGCACTTGGCTTGTTCCATCGGTTCTCACCCCATCTCGAAACGAAGAGGCCTTGTGCCACTTGCTGCAGAAGTCATGTGTGAAGACATATGCACTGCAGCGAGGGCTCAGTAAGGGTCTGTAAGTGAATGCAGCGGAGCAGAAAAGATGCAAAGCACTATTGCCTGCGCATATGTCTCCACTTTGTCAAGTGCAAGCAATACTGACTGTCAGAGGAGACTCAGTTTGCCGGTGCATCTGGCAGAAAGCTAGATCCCCAGAGTGATTGCAACGACCTCTTTCAGCTTCCGATTCAGATAGGGCCAGTTCACATCACCCCGGTCAGGCTACGTGAAGTCCTGGAGGATTGCTCATTGCTTGGCCCAGCCCCCGCATCAGTCGTGACCTCAAAGTTGTAAAGAAGTACCTTCCGCTGCTATATCAAGATCATGAGCGTCTCGTGAGACTCTGTGGATTAACATGCTGGAGTAGGCACGTGCGATGCAAGTGCATGGCTGATTACGTCAAGATCATGTCTAAAGAGGTGTAGTCAACAGGTTCATGGTTGCAGCATACACTTGCTTTTTCATCATAGCTTGTTTGCATGTGTCATGCGCGACGTCGTAAAGTAGTCAAGCCGCGCTGCATCGCCAGGCACATGCGGACCCAGCTGGGCGTGTCAAAGACTGGAAGTTGCCTGCAAAACAGGTGGGACTCTCTGGATGGCATCTACAGTACTGATTCCCACAAGCCCGAGCAGTGCCGTAGCCAGTCTCTATGCCCGGATCCTCCCTTTTCGCCTCAGTCCAAGTATTTTGCTCTGCTTGGCCGGGATTGGCATTCATGTTGGAATCGCCAAAATGACTTGTTGCGATCTTTTCTGCGCGAAGGTTCGTGAGCCCGGCATGCAAAGCGGCCCATGACGAGCTGCGCCTGCACATCAGAAAAGCTGCAAAGATGCCAGAAGCTCTCAGCTGGCTAGCTGGCGAATAGTGATATATGTACACGCGCTTGTTGCACCGGCATGCTTGCACTTGATGGTCACAGGTAGCGGCACGCTGCTAGAATCTCGCCTCCCATCATCTGGAAGAAGAGGAGAGTCCATGCAGACTTTGGTTACGGAGTATCCACCCAGTATTCGCAGTGGTAGTTGCTTTTCAGTGTACAATCTCGGACTTCCCATGAGCAACTGGGCGGCGGGGCCGGCAAGCATGGGAAGCCTCGGCTCATCGTCTCCACAGCGGCGTTGCGCAACCGCTGGCACGGATTTGTCCAATCGCGAAGGACTGGCCCCGAACCGACTCGATGGGGCGCCCTGCATGCGAAAACAATCCTCGGGTTGCGGCGAAACACCCCATGCCGATGCTGTGTCGGAAGAGTATGCTAAGCGGAAGCTCCAGTTCATCAGCGAGAAGTACGAGGAGCTCAGGAAGCTCCACCACGAGCACGCAGCTGCGGAAGCTCGAAGCACAGAGGCGACGCTCAACAGCCTAAAAGCAGAAGCTCGTGCGCGTTCTGGGCAAGTGGACGATGTCACAGGCCGGAGATGTGTTCCGTTAACCGGCACTGCTGATTTGTTTTCAAGACGCCTGACCCATCATCAGGCGTGGAGGAGCGCATGCAGGCGCAGCATGTGGAGGCTGAAGCGAAGCGAAGCGCTGCCGCCTGGCGTTTGCAGTTGGTGCAGTCAGTGCTGAGACTACGGGAAGTGCAGGACCGGCTTCATGGAGCGACGGTGTTTGCGAAGCGAAGGGATGGCACACAAACGCTCTCTAGCAGCCATGTAATGGACATGAAAGGGTTTGGCCTTGGTTTGCTTTCATGTTGACTTTCATGCGTGACGGTGTGGCTTCTAGTTACTTCAGGCGCGCGGCTGTGTGATGCCCAACTGTCAGTTGATTTGGTGTTGGGCTTCGAGTTACTTCGTACGCGGACTGGTCTCTGTGGAAGTAGCACTCCCGCGGCCGGTAATCCTGCTCGTCTTGGAGGCCTTATTTGGAGCACCCTCTCTTTGTCTTTGTCTCTCCCACATAACTAAAATTGGTGTACAATATAAACAAAGAAAATAGACGTGCGGATGCACCGACCCATTCTAATCTAGACGTGCTGTGAAACGTGACCTGTGCCTGCACTCCGACTCATGCCGCTGCCTGCCAAAACGGGGGCTCTCACAACACACCGTACCAATCCAGTCATCATATGAACCGTGCATCAATACAGATCAGGGGTCGCGCGAGCTCGACTTCTTTGCATGCAGCCACGAACTACTGATTTATGGAAATGGCCCTGAAGGTTGCGGACTTGCAGCACGTGCAGCATGTGCAAGCAGCCTCGAGTCCGGGCCGACAGTCTGCGGTGTGGCAGGACGACCGAGGTATCGCCCGAAGGCCGAGGCCGCCTCTGAGGCCATGTGAGGAGCCCGAGGCGGAATGCCAAGCGGAGACGGCCCTTCCCACAACGAGCTCTCGAGACGTCCAGGCCGCTGACTTTGAATTGGCTGAGAAACGGACAAACGGCTACAGCATGGGCCCCTTCGTCTCAGGTCGAAAGGCTATGCACAAGGCTCGCAGAAACTTCCAGGGAGGTGGAAGGACGGCCCGAGACTTACCGCTTTCCAGCTTTGCGGAGGCCCGCCCAAGCCCTGCTTGTGCCGGCTCTTTGACTCCGAAGATCTGCCAAGGATCGGACGACTAAGAAGCAGCAAGAGGCCTTCTTCATTTGGTGTGAGTGTAGAGATTCGAGACACGAAATGACACGAACATGGCACAGGATGGCAGAGTTGATCTGCAGACAACAGCAAACAGCTCAGAAGCAGGCACAAGATGGCACGAGCATGCTATGCTGCTATTCCATGTGCATGGCAACCAACCATCGTCGCCCACATTGGCAGGCATTTGCGGCCTCTGCTGCGGCTGAACTGCTCCGTGAGGCGGAGGCGGCGCAGGATGCGGTAGACGAGGACCAGGCCGTCTCGAGCGTCGCGGTTTGCACCGCGCGACGGACCACGAAATTGTCACTGCAAGGAGCCGCTGAAGGGCCTTGGGGCGCGTCCGCAAGGCCATGGCAGCTCGCTTTGGAGCATGGCCTGGCCAATGCTTGCCTGGCAGATCCTCTTCCTTCTGCACCGGTCAGCTGTGTGGGGCCCCCGAGAACGCGCATTTTCAAACAGAAGGAGCTTGGGTTCTCGCTGCCCGCGGACCTTTCGGGGAACGTGCCGAGGTGCAGGGTGTCGCGCCCTCCTCGCCGAGTCAAGCACAGGCCTCGAAGACAAAGGCCAAACTCTGAGACAGTCGTGAGGGTGCTTCGGCAGGCGCGAGAGGAGAAGGAGCTTTCTCAGACTGTGAAGCCTCCCAAGCTGGGCACCAAGACGTTGAGATTGTTGAAGCCATGATGTGCGGCCATCAAGAAATCAAGGCCTTCCAAGTCTGTCCAAGCTCTGCCGGAGATGTGGTCGCTTGTGCTGGAGGAGGCCTGCGATAAGTAAGCGACAGGGATCAAATGGGGCTGAGACTTCCAGCAAGTGCTGCTTCTGTGTGGGGAAGCTCCGCCAGATTGGCCGTGCCTCTCAGCGGTTGGATTGGGCAGAGCGACGTGGCTCGGCTCCTTCGCCCGGCTCTCCCTCCGAGGCCGAGGCCTATCTTGGCTTCGCTTCCGCCAGGCTTGAGTTCTCTCAGCCCTCTGCGAGGCCTGCGCCGAGTGCAACGACACGGCTTCCGAGCGCATCTGGCAGCAGTGACCTCTAAAGATCTGGCAAGCTTCAGCGTCTCACTTGCTCATTGCTGCTGCAGATACTACAGGTCAGATGCGGAACTGTCGCAACCAGCCAGCATGATGGAGGTGGGCAGTACTGCACAGCATGCGGCTGTTCATGGTTGCTTGGATTTTGTTGCTGGAATCTCATTGTTGCCAGCTGATTCTCGTCTCAGCCGGGCCAGGCCGTGCCGCAGCATCTCCGTGCTGGCTCTCCGTCGGCTTGGGACGAGGTCGAATGCACTTTGCTTCTGCCGATTTCTGTTTTCATTCATCTTGATGCTCAGGAATCCTCGACCTCGGCCTCCGAGGCTTCCGATCACTTCGCCATCGGCGAGGCCTACAGGCCCCATGCTTTGGCAGGTGAGCGCGCTTGGAGCCAATGCGAGTGGTGTCCACATGTGTCCACAGGCCGAATCCCACGGATAGAATCGACCTCGCGCTGGCAGCTTTTCTGCGACATCGGCGAAATCGGCTGCGCAGGCAATTGAACTAGTTGCAACTGATGGGGGCATGATCCTACTCATGAAATACTGATTTCAGTACTGCATTATCCAACGGCAGAAAGGGCTGCACAGCTTTCCTGCGAACAGATGACATTCCATTTCGCGTGGAACATCGCTTCTGAAGGTCCCTCTTTTCCAGACTTGCACACGGGTTGTACCGCGTCTTGACTGCACAGGCCAAATTGGAAACCGCCATACGCCCGATAAGTTACGATAAGTGCTAAGGCTACGGCACCCGACGAGCTCTTCTGCGCTTGGCCCTCTGCGGCCGAGAGCTGGAAGCAAAAGAGGCCGGGTCTTGTGGGCTTGCTGTGCTTGATTTCAAGCGGGGGCTTGCCGCCATCATACTCTCGTAGTGGCAGGCAACCGACAGCGACTCCGATGCCTGGGAGCCGCTGGAGGAGTCGGCTTTAACCGTCATGTCCATTGGCCATGTGCGTGCCAGCACATGAGGCCATATGTCCTTTTGCTGCAGGAGTTTGCACGCCGTGTCGAGCGTGAGCAGAGCCGGCTGCTCCGACGGGCACGCGAGCGCGCAAAGGCCAGAAGTAATTTGCCATTGCCCATATGCAGAAGCCTTCCGGAATTCGATTCTGATGTGAGGCGATGAGGTGAAAGCGTTGGAAACAGTTAAGATTTGCCGTTCAGGATGCGTGTTCTCGCGTGTGTTTGTATCTTTGGAAAGGTCTGTTTGTTCGATTGTTTGATTGATTTTTGGATTTGTTGGCAGAGCTGCTCGGAGAAGCGCTTCCCTGGTTCGTCGTGGACATAGCTGAGCTCTCACGCTTGTGTCCTGGCAGGTCCTGCAGAAGACGCCAGCACAAAGCTGATATGTTGGCCGAAGTTGCTCAGAAGACTGCCCTGTGTAATTGCAGCCCTCGGCAGCTGCTCCGCATTCCGAACAATCCCGCCTATGGCAACAGTCGTAATCTAGAGGGCAACAGCTACAAACTTGTATGTTGTCCAGTTAATGCTCTGATGCATCGTTGTGGGCAGTGGTGCTGGTAACTGCTGGAAATCTGCAAGTTTGCTTTGCCCATCTGTGCAAAACGAAACTTGCACTCGCCAGAGAGTGCACAGTGCCCCGATAATGAGATTGTCAACTTCAGCAGATACCAACTTGGAAGATTAGCTGCATATTCAGCTTTTCGACCCTGCTCCAAAAAGCTACATTGGCAAAGTGCCACGAGTAGGTGCAAGAACAGTGTGCTTTGGGAATCGGATGTCGCCCCTGCTTTTTTCCGCGCAGAGAGACTGCAGTCAGAGTCGCGGGGGACGAAAGACAGGAGACTGCGTTCTCGAAGTTCTACCAGTAGTTTATAAGCTCGGACTCAGACTGCAAGTTTCAAACTCGAGGCAGAGGGCAAAATCCCAGTTGAAAGCAGGCCACAATGTGGGCTAAAAAGGTGATCCAATGTCTCGCTCTAGCGACTTGCTGTCCTCCTCTCATGGCCCTGCAGCTACTCATCCCTGCAAGCCTCATCCACCACGTATGCTGCAGTGTATCCCCCCAGGATATCCAGCAGAACGTCCCATCAACTGCTTTCTTTTCGGGTGGAGACCTTTCGAATCATGTTCATTGCTTGCCAAGCGGCCCAGAATTCAAAACTTCTGACGTTCTTGAGATGAGATTATGATATTATATTTTCCAGGCCCAGGCGCCTGAGCCAGGGCCAGCCAGGCAGAAAAAGCATTTCTAGAGGCTTTACCAAACCCACCGCACCAGCCCGGGCAGGGCAAGCTCAGGCAACATGATTGTTTGGCCGGGACGCAATTAAACTGCGGCAACTTAAAGTGAGAATCGTTGAACACGGCCCCCTGAAGGAACATGCATAGATCAATATAGTTTCTATCCACCAGACGCCGGACTGAGATCACAGCATTGGGTTCCAGGTACACGCGCCTGAAGTGTGGGTCCAGCGACCGTGGACGAACCAACGCCAAAGCCAGAGAGGGGCACCTTTTGAACGTTTTGTAAGACTAGACATTCATTGACATAGCATGGGATACTCTGAGCAAGGTCTTCACGTTGGAGTACGACCTGCTGTGCCCTGTGGCCTTGAAACATTCTGCCGGAGACCTCCTGAGTTGCCCAGTCCAGTGCAGCTTGTACTCAGCACCCCATGTTGCTGCTAACCTGATTGCTGGATACAGCTCCTCAAATCGGCCGGCTGGCGCTAAATCTACTTGGAATGTCGAGCCAAGGCGTGCTTCTGCTAAACTTCGTCCTGCGGATGTGGTACACCTCCATGGTTGCTTGCGTCGGAACCTTACTGCCGGGATCTGCCGGGAGTCATTTGCATTCATCATCGACTTGTCCGAGAAATTTGCACAGGCCATTGAAACGTCCTGTGTCTGGCGCCAGGTCATGCACATCGTCGCACCACGCGATCTACCTTTCGCCACCCATTCCATGATTGTTGCTGGAGACTGAGCCACTGAACGTAATTGCATGCATCGGGGGTTGGGCGATATCAAGCTGGCATGTGCAGACAGCATAACGAGCATAATCTGCTCGCAGTGGTTTGATTTCAAGGATGCATCGCTCGTGTCTTCAGCCGGATGCCTTCAGATGTCAGTCCACTAAGGAGAACACCTTGACGGTCTCGGTACGGGAGGAAGATACTGGAATACTGAAGGAGGCCCTGATGAACGTCCATCTGACCAACCTGGAGCTGTGCTTTTGAGTGGACAGGCTTGCCCAATCTGCCTGGAGTGTTTTCAAGTCGGTGACAAGGTGGGCGGTGTAGCAGTGCTCTTGCTTCAGGCTGGTGTTCTATCGGTGTTGACTCGGAATATGGCAGATGACGAGTTTCTGGCACATGTTGTGGTCAAGTTCTTGCGCCCTGCGCTGCTTTGCCCTTCCCTTGTGCTGTTGTTGATCTCAGGGTTTGTGCTTGCTAGGTGCGAAGACTGCCCTGCATGCACCTCTTCCACGTTGTGGGCACCAAGCCAAGCAACGCGCAAGGGTTTTGGAGAGTCGTGACAGCACCATGGCCGTGGTCGTGGCTTGCTCGTACTCCTTTGACTGTGTCTCGTTTGCGGAAGGTGGCGAGTCTTCACACTGCCAGGGGCGGCACTGCAACATCGATAGGCATCATGATGCGGCGAAGTCGATGGTGCGTGCAGTCGTGAAGCTTCTCGTCCAATCCAGGCATCTGGTCCTGGACAAACAATGTCCGGTCTGCAAAACACCTATCGACGTCATGGAGCGCCCATTGAGAACACGAATCAAGATGCTGAAAGACTTGTTGCTGTCTCCAGCTTTCTGAACAGGAGCGGATGGAGCGTGAGAGTCAGCGGGAGGCTCAGGCGGGGTGGCCTCGGTGTGCCCTTAGGCGTGAGCCCGCAGCACAAATCAAGAGTCGCCGTTGGCAGGCGAACTCAGCAAACTCCCAAGCCTCTCAGCCAGATGCAGGCGGAGACCCGATCTTCTGGGCTTGAGGAAAAGAGTCGAACGACAGACCACGGTGCCATCATGGCGCTTGCATTGATGAGGCAGAAGTCATCGAGCATTAGCACATCTCACCATGCTTAATGCATTGAGCAAGTCACGTGTTGCTGGCAGCGAGTCAAGAAGCCACTGCGGGCCAAGTCAGACCAATAGGAAGCAGCAGAAGCTTTCCATTCCGCTTTCTCAGTATACTTGCACCGGCTCCCGCCATCCACTAGCGGTTCGGGCGTTCTTAAGCCATTCAACCGAAAGGACGCTGCAAGTTCAATCTGACCTGGAGCTCATGACTCATGCGTCATATCGAGCGTTAGCGAGGCGCAGACGGTCTTTCTGCGGACAGGCCGGCGGCCGCTCAGATTGAACCAAGCCTTCAGCTCTGTACAGGGCAGAGTTTTGAAGATAACCTGACTTCGCATTGTGCCGCCATTGAATTATGCATCACAGGATAGGACAGATGGCGGGTACATTTCGCAGGGAGCACCGAGCCGTTGAGTTCACCGTTTCCGTCGCGCCAAGGCGGAAGAGCCGCAAATACAAGCACCGGAAGCGCCCGACACACAGAGCCGAGAGTGACAGCCGGCCCAACTCATTCAAAGGCAACCTGTGTCTATTTGTGTCTCTTTCCAGATTCGCTGCTTACCCTGGCCAAGGCCAGCGGCTGCAGGCCAGACGTCGGAGGAGGCAGCTGGCGGAGTCGTGTCCTGAAGTGAAGCAGTTTCGGCTCCATCAAACAGGCCGACACAAGCGGAAACCGTTCCCTGGAGCCGGCGCTGCAAACTGAGATTTCGGCTCTGGCTGCAGCACTGCGACATGATGAATTGAATCAGTTGCATCGACTCGCAGCTTCAATAGCTTATTGCTGCGTGTGAGAGGCTCTCTCCAGAACGCTTGCCGGAGCAGGCTCTTTCAGCTTGAGACAGATTGGAACGCTCGCTGAGTTGACGCTTCTGATTCTGATGCCCTGTTCGAACTATCGGTACTGGTACGAGGGCGTGTTGGTCGGTGCAGGTCGGCCCCGATCGCAGATCGAAGCATGTGTCCCGTTGATCGCCTTCGCATGCAGGCAGCAGAGCTCGAGCGAGTTGTCCGAAGCCTTCAGCGCGCAGTCTCAGCTGTTTGATGGTGAATGGTCCTGAGAGTGTACATATCATTGTCAGTATTTTTCAGCCTGTCGTAAAAGCCCTCTCGCGCTGCTCCTGAGGTCAAGATGGCTACAAATTCAGGCTTCTCCCGAGAAAGCTTTGGTTGCGTGGCATTGCCAGCCTTGACAGAGATGTTTGAGCTCCTGGCCTGCCCTGCACACGGTCAGGCTGTAGGGGCACCTAGCGGCTAAGCGATTCTAGCGACAGGATGTTGTGGCTGGCGTCCAACAGATGCTGTGGCCTCGGTACCCTTTCTTGCATGGCCATCAAAGTCTTGAGACGAAGCGGTTCAGGCTTCACTACATCGAGGAGCGGTCATCGCCTGCAGAAACCACAGCTTGTGCACACATTATCCCGGATAGCCGATGACGGACGATGCGTACTGCTCAGCCAGCCAGGATAGCCAAACTGCGCTAAACGCGGCCCGAAGTGGTGCAAGCAATGTTCAAGGCAGCGGTCCCGAAGTGTTTGGCTCTTCTTGCCTTGGTCGAGTTTCCTGACAAGCTGCTAGGGCCGGATGGTGCAGTGGAGACCCCACAGGCGGGGGCCAAAAGCCGACCTTGACTGTGAACCTGCCGTGTAGGTGGTTGTTGCTCAGATGCAATCCTTGTCTGACTTGGCGAAAGGTGGCGCCCTCGCCTCAACCTGAAGAGGCTCATGTTGAAGCCATGGACAGTCCGGCCGCGCCCAGTGCCCCGGGCGGCGCCCCTGAAGCAAGACCTGACGAACTGCAAGTGGAGATCCAGTTCGAGGTGCAGGTGGACGCCGACCCGCAAGAGCAAAGGCAAACACCAGAAGCGCCTGAGCCGCTGGAGCAGACAGAGCCAGGCCCCCAGCATGCAAGCCTTCAGCCATGAACAGGAGGTTGCCTGCTTCCAGCTAAGGTCTGCAGCACCAACCAGTCTGGCTGTCTCGGGTGAGGCCAGCACTGATTTTGAGCAGATGTCATAGAAAGCCTGCATTTGGAACTGGCACGCCGAGTTCGGTCCGAATGCAGCCGAGCCGAGCAGCAACCAAGCAACGTCAGCCCATGTCAGCTCAGCACTTCAGGAAGGCCGCAGAGAAGGTCGCAACTGCCTGCTACCATATGCCTAACCTCTACCTGGACGTGTCAACATCGCAACGCGAGCCGCCTTGCCCCTGCCATGGCAACAGTCCTCGTCCAGACTTTGGTGGTGCAAGAGGGGAAGGCAAGACTAATTGGAAGAGCTGCATGAAATTGGGGTCCTGAATCTTTCGGGATGAGGTCCAAGCAGTGAAATCTCATGCGGCTCAACCGCCCAACGCCGTTTAATGGTCCCGCTCAAACTGCCACGAGCGCCGAGTAAGCGCCCCTGCGGTGTTGAGCAGGCTGCACGTGGCTGTCAGGTGCTCCTTGGACGCTGGAAGCCCGGCTCCGGTGCCTTTGCTGGCCGTGTCACAGCCCTCCTCGGTGCCGCCACAGACCCAGGCTCGAAGCTTGTCTGCTGTAAGCACAGACGCTCCATAGCTCTGTCGCCTTGCCTTTTCAGGAGTATCGCCAGAAGCCGCAGCGGTTTCAACAGTTGCAGCACTGGGAGGCGTTTGGACACAGTGCGGAAGCCGCCAGTGCAAGTCATTGTCCTTGCGAGGTTCTCTGAAGATGACTCGCCTGAGGCGCAGGGGCCTATTCAGTTTTCAGGAGTGCCGGAGTGGAGGGGCCCTGCCTTGCGCCCTCCTACCGTCCAGCCGTCTTCGCAGGAGTTGGACTCCAGTCATGAGTCCGCACAAGCACTTGGCGAGCAGTACATGGAGCATCAGATGCTTTACCGACCCTCGAGCTGCGCTTCGTCCGTGCACTTTGCCATGGCATCACTGCTCACTGCTCTCAGCAAGGACTGCAAGCCTCCGAGCACTTCCAGCTTGCACCCAACGATCGCTTTGAGCCGATTGGATGGTTTGGTCAAGGCACATGGAGACCTGGAGAACTACAGTAGGTCTCACCAGGTGCTGTCCTTGTAGTTCTTGGCAAGTGCTGCCGTCGTCTCGTCCGTTGGTGATTGTGCGGAACCACGGAAATCGACCCTCGCTGAGCTAGAGGTGCTTGGAGGAAGCTAAATAATTTGTTTCTCGACACCGAGCAGGTGAGGTTCCTTTTGATGAGATGCCTGAAGACGACAAGATTTGGTACGACCGAGTGTTGTTCCACGACCACTTGCTGCGCGGGAGCTTCAAATTTCGAGGCCTTTTATTCGAGCCTGCGAGGTGCACATGACATGCGCAAGGGTCCTGCACAGGCACCGCCTTGCTGGAGCACGACCTCGAAGTGGTCTCGCCGGCACAAGGCTCAGGGATAGTGGCATACTGGCATCAACTCTCAAGCGCGATTGGAAGGAACGTTTCAGGATGCATTTCCCCCTGCTGTCGCCTTCAGCAGGCCTTTGCCAAACAGATCCTGTCGGGGCGGCCCTGCCCAGTGTGGAGGAGGCCCGAAGGGGCCTGAAAGCCGCAGCAGCCATGTGCAAGAAGACTTGTTTCGATCGCAGGAGGAGCCGCTGCTGATCTCCAATCCCAGCTGTTCCAAGAGCCGAGCCCTGCAAGAGGCCCCAGAACCCCAGGGCATGGGGCAAACTGCGGCATACTGACGCAGCCAAGGCACTCCTCTGCTTATCCCACTCTCCGCCTGTGTTCCTTTTTGCGATTCAGAAGGAGACTGTCTTAGTCGTGCGATGCGTGGCACTGCCCACGAAGTGGCTGGAAGCGACAACTGAAACAACACTCCCGAGCGCCGCAGTCCCTTTTCGGTCCATAGCAGTGCTCGAGCCTTCGCTCCGGCGATCGTCTGTAAGACATTGCACGACGTTGCCCTTCTCCACATTACTCTCCACCGATTGCGCCGCGCCCTCAAGTTTACAAAAGTCTTGAGTGTCCCAGCTTTGCCGACCGGTCGATCTGCGGCCGAATTAGGGCCTGCGGCGGGGGGAGGGAGCTGGGTCCGGCGGGTTCCTGGCGGATGCTCCGGGGGTCGGGACTTGGCAGCAGGCTCCCACCAACTCCAAACATGGGTCTGGTGACTCGATGTGACCGGAAGAAAGAGAAGCGCTGATGTGCATTGGCCGTGCCGAGCATTTGAGCGAAGGGACCGGATATTATATGGGAGGCAACGACTTGACTAGTACACCATGTCTACATGCGCCTAAGCTTTTCCCGAGGTGCAAGATTCTAAGATTTTGGCAGAGAAATGTTTGAAAGGAGTTGTGGTCAGAAGGCCGAAGTGGTTGACAGAGTTCAGAACTCTAGCCAACCAGACGAGCTTCGGACAAGGGCAGATATTTGATGGCAACGAGCGGGCTAGAGGGACATTTGACATGTGATGTTCACCCGAGTTGCATCACAGATTTTGCGACAGTTTACGACATGCGATGCCTTAAACGTGGGTACAACTGGGCAGACTGGAGCGGGAGAGGCATTGGATGCGGCAGGCGTGAAGTACCGCGATCGATTCTACTTGCAGGCCCCCGCCTGCTGTTTGCCAAAGCTCACTTTTCACCACATGACGGGGGGGGGGGGGGCATGTGCTCTGGAGAACTGCAGGTGCAAGAATTCACAAGTGGTTAGCCTTGGGACTCACGGCGTCACGGGCAGGCCCCTCTGAGTCTCAGCGAGTTGGAGACCTTGTCGGCTCGCCTGGAGGCCAGACCAGAAGTCAGGACGTGTTGAAGAGTGAACTGAGAGAACACTGCGAGGGAAAGCACTTCTCAGGTGAAGGAGGGATCGCCTGCAGGCTCCATTCAGATGTTGGATGAGTGCAAGATGCACTCGGAAGCTTCACATTGTTTTGAAGGTGCACTATGCCGCGACACCGGGCTTGCAGCTGGACTCAGGATCAGCTGTGTGCAGGAAGCTACTCGCGAAAGCTTGTCTCCCAGATCCGGCTTTCCAGGTCGAAGCTTCGGCGGAAGAACAAATCCTCGAGGCACATTGAGCCTTGAGTTTCTTTGCCGTTGGCCATGGTGGCTATGGCTACTACGGCTAGGTTCTCTGTTTCGTCTTTCTGTCACTCCGCTTTCGGCATCAGCTCATTCCTTCGATGGGCAGGCTGTGGCAGACAATGCCGAGCTTCTGCAGCGACCGGTACCTGCCATAGAGTCGCCGTCTTTGCATGTCCATGTCGTCCATGTCACAGTAGCACGCCCAGGTTCTTGTGAAAGGCCGGCGCGCTGCCCTTGGCCAGGAGCCTGGCAGGCTGTGGGGCTGGGGCTTCGATTTAAGCACGCAGTGGGGCGTTGTCAGAAGGCGACAGCTTCACTGACGACAGCGAAATATTGGGGCAGAATGGCAGACTAGAAGTTTTGCACTGGCCTCCCAGAACAACTGGAGGCATTCTTCTCAGTGCTGAACTTGTGCTGGCGGAACCGCTGCCAGTGTAAGTTAGGGGAAGCAGCTGAAGACACACGATTGTCCACTGCCAGGCAGGCAATTTTTAATTGCGAAGGCTGCAGCTTCCAGAGCTCCGCTCGAGGTTGCCCCCACTTTCACAGAGAATCTAATACCACGGCCAGGACACAAATCACACACCCAATGAACAGAATCACGCACCAAAGCGGTGCAACACTCTCCGGCACCAAGAATCCTATTGCTTCACTTGTTTGTAACCTGGTGAGTCGTGGTTCAAACATGGATGTGGATGCACAGAGTGCACTGATCTATCGGCATGCCCGCAAGTCGATCTTGAACTGGGTGCTCCTACTTTCCAGTCCAGTGCGCGGCAGGGGCACATGTAGCAGTCCGTGCGAGTATTCGGAATCACCCCACCGGGCACATTGTGCGTCTGCCCTGGCCCGCATTGCGACGACACAACAGACGCCAGAAGTCATCATTTGTTATTGGCTTTCGCACATCCAGACCATAATCTTGTTGTGCCGCTGTGTTCCACGACTCAACGAGCCGAAGCGAAGCAGTAGATATCGAAAATGACGGATTCATAAAGTACCATTTTGCACCGGCATGGCCTTGTCTTTCTGATTTCACGTCTTAGCCCAAGCCTCTGTCACGAGGTTCTTTCCTCTAACCTTGGCAGAAGGAACCCGATCTAGACAGCCAAATGTTATTGACCGTCCGGGATGGGTGGGCTAGGTGCTTGCCATGCAGGGTGGATTGGTGGGCTACGCTAGTTTTGTTTGCGGCGGTTTTTCCAGCCACACAACAGCTGGAAAGTTACCCGCTCCAAGTGTCACACACATGTACGTTCAGATCAAGTTGGTTGGTGCAGGATGTTTTGGTTTTGGCGTGCGATGTTGCCACGTTGCAACCACATCGCCAACTTGCGTTTTCGTCACGGCCCCTGAGATCTTGTAAAAGACGTCGGACTGGAGACTGGCGCCAACATTTCCGGAAACTAACAGAACGAGTCAACAGTGGCAGCCTGAGTCGACGACGAAGCTGCGATGAGCATGCGGCAGTGGCGAAAAAGAGCAGCAACAGAAGAGGGAAGGTGGGGTTGGCAAGTTCAGACGTCACGCCATTGGAAATTGGTGTGACAAACGCATGTTGCCAGCTGACGAAACGGAACATATCGGCTTAGTTTGTAATTCTGCAGCCCTTGTGTGTGCTAGTCGCAAGTGTGGCAACGCGTGGACTGATCGACAGCCTAAGGTCGTCCATGTCCGGAGGATGCCACGAGATTGCTTTGAGCAGGATGAAAAGGAGTAGCGCTCGGGCAAGGCATGCGCACCCAAAGGCGTTCACATGCCGAACTCATCGTTTGGGCACCGCCTCCTTCACACGATTGATACAGCAGTCTTCTGCGTCAGGTCCCGGCCGATGAAAGGTCAGAGCATGGCCCGACACAGGAGGCCTGACGCGTCGCCGCGAACTCGCCATAAAGTTTGGCCCTATCTTTGACGGTATTGAATCGCTGGGCTGATGGCAACTGCAATTGTGAGCCCGTGTAGTGTGTCACGGAGGCGGGCACACGAGCAGCTTGGCAGCCCTTCACCTACACGGAGAAGGTGCAAATGCAGGGAGAAGGAACCGTAGGAACGGCGGAATTTTGCATTGCGCGCGCAAATCGGGACTAAACCCGATAAGCCCGCTAGACCCGAAAGGCCCGACAAGCTGCATTACTCGAGAAACCGGAAAGCCCATCAGTCCGAGGCTTTATCCCCGGAGTTCAAGCTTTGTAAGAGTTCTGATGTCGAGATCAGGGGCGCCCCATCAGTCCAAGGCTCCACCCTCGGAAGTCGAGGGCTTCAAGAGTTCCTTTTTAAGATCAGCGGCGCACCACCAGTCCAAGGCTTTATCCCCGGCCTTCAAGGTTTGTAAGAGGTCTGATGTAAAATCAGAAGCGCTCCATCAGTCCAAGGTATACAGTATATAGACTCGTTCGATGTCGAAGTTCTCTCTGTTCCTCATATATAGTCTATAGATTATGAAAGGACTGCAGGAACTGCTGCCGGCGGAGGCCACGAGGAAGGGCTGCAGGCATTTTGCCCGTGCAAGTTGCACAAAGCCACTAGGATTTTGTACTTCAGCGCAATGATCAAGGCGGAAAAGTTTCAGCGCAATTCAGCACACTCAGCGCATTTCAGTGCAATTCGGCGCATTCAGCGCAATCGGTGCATCCAGTGCATTTCCCGCGCAATCGGCATATTTCCAGCGCGATCGGCGCACGCAGCGCATGGTCATGATGTGGTCCTTGTGCCCGCGTGCACTGAAATTTTCATGGCATGCCTCCGTGCACCGGAATGGGGGTGCGTCCCAAATCACACGGAGTCACAGGCTGCAAATGACCTGGTCATGAGCGCGATGCAAGCAGCTGCACATGGCAGTACAGACACGGGCCAAGTAAGTGCCCTTTTGGCACAGCTCAATTAGCACACTATAAAGTCAAAGCAGAGAAGAAGCGGAACGAACACTACGATTGAGAACAATTCGATGATCATCCGTCAAAAGATGGAGACCACACAGAACTTGAAGGAGGTGACACAACATATTTGGAGAATCGCGTGGACAGCCTGAAAAAGGAAGTTTGCGCGTTGACAGATGAAGTACATAAGCAAGAGGAGAGGAAGATCAAGCTTCTTGAGCCTGGAAACGTGCATCCTGCTGCTAAAAGGAGTAAGCAGGGCAAGCGGCCAGGAAGAAGGGGCCAACCGCCGCCAGACGGAGAAGAGTTCGCTCTGGTGGCCACATGTGTTTGGATTGCTTGGCTGCTTCACCTCGTAGTGAGAAGCACAAGCGACCGTGCTACAAAAGTGTAGATTTCTGGACGTCTGTATACCTTTGTTACTGTTTTCGTTACTGTTACTGTTACTGAAAGCTGTCATAAGCTGTCTTTGCTCTCTGTTGTTGGGAATTTGAAAAGTCTTCAAGGTATTTCGATAGAAGCCTGTCGCCAGGTTTGCAGTGCCTATGTCTGGAGACGGAGGCGGCTTGGCCTTTTGCAGGCCACGGTGCCGCCGTCAGCGCCGTCTGCCTCGTAAGTTTTTGGGTCCCAGCATGTTTCCCTCTGGATAGCATGGTCGCGGTCGCTGTCAAGAGGCCTTAGCCTGTAAACATCATGGAAAAGAGTTCACGACTCGTTCACGAAGTCATGAACACCTGCTGATACCTGCTGCACCCCCGTCACGAACAGGCGTCAGCTTCCTCTGCGCCGGGTGCATCCAGCACGTGACCTCGGTGCAGGCCGAAGTCAGTACCGAGTCCTGGCCAGCTGCATGTCACTCGATATCCATTGCCATAGCAGCTCCCGGCTCGAGGTGGTTTGTTTCAGCACCTCCATGGCCAGCATGGCTAGGATTCTTGGGCACCCCAAGCATCCCCGAGCAAGAAAATGTGGGGCATCAAGATGGAGAAAGGTAAGTCAGTCCATGAATGCACCAAACATTTCAGAGCAGCCTGGCCTATGGCACCAGTGACAGCGAAATCCGAGGCCGATATGCTGGCGATGCTTTGTTATGCATTGTCCGCTAGCAGAACACCATGTCCGTAAGCAAGCTGCGTTGTGGTAGTATGCTGTGGTGTGGACACGCCAGTCCACGATGCCTGCCGTGCCTTGCAGAGCACGAGAGTTTGCACGCGCAGCAGTTTTGAAGTTTCGGAGGCACCCTGCCATGACCTACACATCGGACACGGTCATGGACAAGCGCTTGCATAGTGGCATAGTTCGTACAAGCTGCGGCCTTGCTGCAGCCTTGTGGTGCCGAAGCCCAGCTTTGCGAAGGACATCCGCACCATTCTCCGACTCCGGCGTCTCCAAAGAAGATGTTTCAACGCATGGCACGGAGCTTGTCGCGAGAAGAAGACGCGGACAGGGCGAGGCGGCCGAAGTCGGAGTCTTGGGTGCCAAGGGAGTCTCACAAGGATTTGCAGCAAGCTACTCAAGCCGCTAGCCATCTATCCCTGAAGAAGCATCGTCCTGGCTCCGCGAGGAAGCAGAACCAAACCAGGTCTAGCGAAGCCTTAGTCCTTAATGATTCTTTCTTCAGCCAAGTTAGACATCGCGAGACCTAGCAATTAGCTTCAGGCTTGTGCATTTTGAATGACATGTGGTCAAGGACGATGCAAAGATCGGCGCAAGCAAGGCTCTCCGGATCCTGGACAAGATGCAGGACCGGTGTTTCCCGATTGCAAGTTTTTTCCTCAGAGGCACCCAGGGGCGCCAAGTGAGGTCTGCTGTCCGCCGAAGCCAAGGTTGGTGCGTCACCGGTGCAGACCATGGAGAGCTTTGTATCCAGAACGATTCGGTTTATGGCGCTGCAGTTGTGACTTGGCAGATGTATGACGATCTGCGTATGACAAATCAGTAACCCCAGTTGTGTTGCTGAAATCTAGAATGTCAGAAGAGTTTCTGGTAATGAGGTCTTGCCACAAGTTGCACGAAGTTGTGAGTGGCCTGGAACGCTGATCGCAGCTGCCTGACTCAAGTTTTCCCCTCACGTGTCAGCATTCCATATTCCGACTTGTCTCTTCCGCTGCATTTCTGCCTCTCACTTCTCTCGCTCTGGCTCAATGAGTGATAGGGTGTAGACGAGTACCGAGGCAGTCAGCCGCACCTATTTCTATACCTTCCTGAATTTCGCGCTACAGGCGGGCCGATTTTCATGCTTGAGCCATGCAGCCGCTGCTTCTGGCCACTGTTTTCTTGGCATGCTAGTCGAAATGTGCCAGTGACGTCAAACATGCCCGGACCATGTTCCGTCGTATCCTCAAGAGCGTTCCACAGCTGTGCTATCAGTTTGAGGTCAGCGCAAGTTTAGGGCGAAGCGCGCTCAATTTGTTGAGATACCAATGCAATCCAATGCGCTGCTGAGTGTTCGTGTGCATTGTATTCTGTTTATGTGTTGGCAGAGGCTTTCCTGCTCAGCATGATTGCCGAAGAGCAGCATTTCTGGAATCTCGGGCAAAAGTGGCGGGTGAATCTGGCTTCCCGGTTCTTTCCCCGGCCTCCGGTGGCCTTATTTGCCGTTAGGCGCATCAAGTCGCAAAGCCAGGATGGGTATGTCATTTGGAGCACGAAGCTTGTAGGACGTGGTTGTGCTCTGGCTGCTGTCCATCAACAGCTAGATTTTTGCATGCAGCTCCCGATGCGCTCAGGTACCCTTTCGCTGGGCAAATGCACTTGTGCAATTACGGTGCATCTATGCAGGATGGTGACGGCCCTCTCATGTGTTTGTTCTGGCATCGGCCAGCTGCACGTCCTTGTCTTGCCCGTCTCGTCAAGCCAGTCTCCCAGCCAGGACTGTCCTGGTGCTCCCAACTGCGTCGGGCCTGGAGGAACGGCACTGTCCTACCCCAGGCTTTACGACTATGCGCGGTGCTTGGACAGATCGCTTCTGCGCTCTTCCTGGCCTTCCCTTCACTGAGCATGGACCCAGGACATTTGGAGCACAAGAACTTTCCTGAAGCAGAGCATGCAGGCGGGAGACGCCAAGCCTTTTTCTCAGCTGGCTTGAGCATGAAGCACCTCCCAAGGCTGTCCTCCACCTCGTTCCGGAGAGCATCGACCATGTGGACGCCGGAGAGTCTGCGGCTTATCCTGCTTTCTTTGAGGATTTGGAACAGATCTGCAGCCAGTTGGTAGATGCCGCGGTGTTCAGTCCATGCGTGGTGGAATGAGCAACGCTTCTCTGAGCCAGCATTTCCGGTCCCGATTGGCCCCGACTTGCAGCATCACAGCATGCACGGCGGATACATTTGCAAAGAGCACAGTGGCAACCGGATGCATCGCTGCCAGCTGAACCGCCTTTCACACAAAGATCCTGATACCCGAAGGGCTTCACTGCTCCAAACCGTCAATGACGTGTGTGATCTCGCACATGTACAGAAAGACGCACCGTGAACACCTGGTCGCAACGGTATGAAGGGTCGGTGAAGCATGCTGCTTTGCCTACATGCATACTCATATCCTTGCCGCGTCGAAGGATGCCCAAAGGATCTGTAGTTTGGTAAGTCGTAGATGCTTCAACCGCAAAACGTCTGTCATCTGAAGTTGGTCTGTATAAAGTATTTCAACATGCTGCGCACCAGGTATGGGATGGAAAATTTCAACTGCCGATGCTTGGTTGAATTTATTAAGCCTTATCTGCATTCTTTATTGCAATGCTCCAAATTCTTGCAGAGCCGTCACTGCACAAGAAAATGGAGGCTGTCTGTGCATTTTCCTTTTCATGCTCGCTGTCGTGGATGACCTAGAAGACAACGTGAACTTGACCAGGACAAGCTGCACCAAAATGAAATTGTCTTGTGCCTTGATTGAGCCAAAAAATACGCAGTCAAATCTCGCACGTCCGAGGTAATCCAATCCTGAACCAGAAGGCCAACATTCGTGATATCAGTTCCCAGACTCACATGCGCACAGGACTTTGGCGATGGTTCCAACGAGCACTGCGAGTTGGATCGCCTTTGAGGTTCCCGATTGGGGTAGCAAAGAGGATGTGAAGTGACTCGATTGACAGTCGAGAGAGCCTGGCATGCTTTCCCTTTTTCTGAACCGTGCGACTCACGCTGATGATGATGATGATGATGATGATGATGATGCCGAATGCAGGACTCCTGGCAGGCTGGTGCGTAAACGCAATGGAACGACAGGTCAGATGCCCCAAAGGAAATGAGCCAAGAATGAGGAACTGAGGACCTTCAAGACTTTGGGGGAAGGAGTGTGCAGTTTGCCCCTTCGTCGTCTTGCCCCTTCGTCGAGATCGACTGCTCAGAAGTGCTTGGACGCCGTTTGACGCCTCGCATCTGTCGAAAAAGCAAGACAAACAGACAAGCACTCCCCGCAACCCCCTGGGGATCGTAGCACGAACACTCAGACCTCAGAGTTTATGTATGTTTATTTGCAAGAGGCTCTGCATCAGTTGACATGGGAGTGCCCAGAGTGCCGAATGCATGTCTTGCTTGGCACTCACTGCATGCGGTGCGTTGTCGATGGCTTCGAGTTTTTGACAACAAGACAACTCAAGATACGTGTCCCTAAGTTGGCATCCAAAATTCCAAGAGCACGTGGCAAGGACTTAGCCTTGGTTCATGTCTCCTCTTTTTTGGTGATATGAGCGATCATGCTAGTTCATGCTGCCACATCCACATGAAGCTTCTCCAACCAAGGGCAATGCACGACTCGGAGGAGAAGCATTTCATTCGCTACGAAGTCTCAGGAATGCCACTACATTGGAAGTTGTTCAATGCCCTTCAGATGCAAAGTGCTGCTGTGAAGCCGGAAGTACGCCGTAGACTGCTCATGCTGGTTGTTGCAATCCTGGCAGCTATGCTTCGACACCCCATTGCCCAAGCGCAATTAAGGCGTGCTTTATCCTCTTGCCCAAGATCCTACTTTGGCTGGCATTGGTCCGCTCCGGTGTTCATTATCTGATGGAGACTGCCGGGATCGTTGATGTGGTGGTCAACGCGATGGCGTTAACCTTTGTCTTGCAAGTTGCTTGTTTGACGAAGGTCAAGCAGTGCTGCACGATTTCTTGCGTGGAGGTTCATACTCCTAGTCGGCCCTGCAACCTTTCTTGAGAGCTTTGGCATGCCATCAGAGAAGCTAAGGTGGATGAGATCGTTTTCCAGAGGCTATGCTCAACAGTGACCAAAGACATCATGTGTCTGGCTTGGAACATGACTCGTAGCTCTCAAGAGAGCGCACGAATGCCCAGCCATCGTCTTGCATGCAACCGTACCTGCCGTTGGGGTCAGCGCGTCGATGTATGAAGAGGCTTCCCCAAGGGCTCCCTTCCCTTGCAAGGTCGAAGCTGGACGCAAGAGCCCTGTATGACTTGGACGAGGCCTTGTTGCGAGCAGGGTGGAGACAGCCTCCGAGAGTTTTTGAAGAGGTCGACAAGGAAACGGATGCAGAAGCACTGGCCTACTTCAACGAGGTGGAGCTGAGGAAAGGTTGGAAAAGCGCCTTGACCGCCTGGACTCGCTGTGCCAGCTCTCCCACTAAGAAACACCGAGCATACGTGCTGTCGATGTGCCCTCACTTGATGCCATGCCGATCCCCGATGAAGTCGAGACAGGTAGCGAAAGCTGGTATCAGCAAGCAAGTGTCACGATAAACAGTCCTGCTCCTGCCATGGCCGACGGCTTCACAGGTGTCATTTTCCAGATCTTCCCGACGAGATTGCTGAGTCCTGAGAGAGTGCGAACGGACTTTCCGGAGATTTGTCGCCAGTCATGCTTGCTGATCATTGCCAACTGGCTCAGTTTAAACAGCCAGCTGCCGTTCAGGTTTGTCATCATACTGTGCCAATGCTTGTTCCTGCACCTTGGATGCATTGAAGTTGAATTCAAGCCGCAACCCGAGCAATGCTAGCGCAAGTCCCGGATCCTGGTACGTCTCAGGTTGGACTATTATATTTCCAACTGTGAAAAGCTCACAGATGGCAGCTGGGTTTCCAAGGCAAGGCTGGCGACTTCGCTCGGTGGGTCGTCTCGGGCGAGTGGAGTTGCGCAGGATATGCACCTGCCTGCGGACATGGCCTACAATCCGCTATCTTTGATGTTCGGAATGCTTAGAGCCTCTCGCCTCAGAAGCTTGCGAGCCTTTCGGTCAGATTCCAAAAAGGTCGCATGATCAGTCTTTGACCAGGAGCAAGACACAGCTTCCTGGACGATGCCGAAGTCGTGAGATCTGGCAATGTACATAGCACCAGAAAGCCAGCCTGGAGGTGTGCTCACAAAGTTGAGTCAATGCCCATCGACGAGAGGGACTCCTTCGTGCTTACCGAATTGTGGAAGCACTGCGCTTTTCCATCATTGGAAAGAAGCGCACTGAAAGGATTGCTGTGAATGCACCGCCGAGAGGAACGTCGGACAGCTGCGGGTAACTCTTGCTTGTCCAATGCCTGGCACAGGCTCACGCAGCGACGCCCGCACTTGCCTTCTTGTACAAAGCTTCGCACTCGAGAAGCTGTGAGCGGGACGAGCTAGGCGAGCGTCGCTGCGAGCTTGCAAATGACCGCCAAAAGATGATTACCGCTACGAGCGCTCAATCTTCTTCACCCTGCTTCTGCTATCCCGAGGAGAAGACGCCAGCGCCCGGTTCGAACAGCAACGTGGAGCCAAAGGCAGGCAAGTGCGTTGCAGAACTCGTGGTACTCATGCCGTATGCCTTATACGTTCATGCATATCCAGTGTCGGCCTTTGGTGGCACAAGCACTTGTGCTCGTCTCGGATGCGACAATGCTTCCGACGATTTGGCCGTAATTGTCACGAAATGTACAATGCGTCATGCAAAGCGTTTTGCAACTTGTCCTATTCATTCTGCTCTTCGTGTTCCACAAGCCGACCGCTAAACCGTGACTCCAAAGAATCCGGTCGTCAACACCTCCACAAGCAAAAGACTGCAAAAAGGCAACCGTGTGGACGGCTTTGGCAGTCTTCGAGTCCACGATTCGCAAATGGACAACGGAATAACATTGATAGAATTCGACATATGGAACACTCGAATCAGAGATAGGTTCAGCTGCAAGAGAAGACCTACCTAGTTCAATCACACGCTTCATCGTGCTATCTCACGTTTACGGCGACATGACAATCAGCTTCAGATGCATGCTGAAAGTTGCTTAGACTAGCTGCCCGCTGAAGCGTGCTTTGCACTTAATCGGGATAATTCCATATTTAGCGGGCTGTGTTCCGACGTGCATTCACAAGCGGTCTAACAAGTACACGAGTGTTTTTTTGTGTGGATGTGTGTACATATGTGTTATAGTGGACTGTATAGTCTTTTTGAAGAGCAGTTTGAATGCAACAGCTACCCGCAGTGGAGTTGCAACGTAGTCGGGAAAAGCGAATCGTTGACTGATGGATCCCTCGAAAAGGTATTGCGAAATGCAGTCAGATCGCCTTCTCCAGTGCCCAGAACATATGCTAGCCATAGTAGACCCAGGATGGGACGTTGGCCACTGGTACGGCCTGGTTGTTGTATGAATGTTTCTTTCTAGCACCTATAGACTAATAGAGCACAGCTGCACCTACACACGCACAGTACCGTAGGATTGCGAAGACTATTGTGGGGTGCAAATCATGGGCGCCATTGGGCAGCAGCCTGCAAAGGTTGCCTAGCACGTGCGCGCATGAACCTGTGCAGGGCAAGAGGCAAGTCTTTGCTCCACAAGTCTCACCAAGCCCAAGGGGAGACAGCTAGGTCGTTGCAGTGGGGACACAAAGGAATGGAACAACAAAGCCGCAAAGACTGCATTTTCGGTGTAGCAAGGGGCGACCCGAGAGAAAATGAAAGATGCAGGTTTGGAGTTGCAGGTTCAGCCGAATCTAGGGGACATGAGTCGCAAGCTTGCGTTCAGCGCTGCTCCTCTTTGGAACATCCATTTGAAGTATGTGTGCTGCATAATTAAAGTGGCAAGAGCTCAGTGAATGCTATTAGTTTGGGAATGGCAGTGCAAACCGCCATGTCTCTACATGAAGGGAGAGCAGTGTCATCTGTGTAAGCAGGAGTAGAGAGCCGAGCATACGGAAACCCTCCGTTACCTCGTTGCATCAAGGGGTTTTGTGATGGCCACGATGATCATGGAGATGGCGATGCCACTACTGCTACGTCTTCTTCCGCTGCTGCTACTGCTACTGCTACTACTGCTGCGACTACTACTACTACTACTACTACTACTACTGCTACGTGCCGGAATTTAGAGCCATTTTTTGGAAAGGCAAATCTTGGTCAACTGGCAATCTTGTCAGCTTGGTCATCTGAGTCATCTTGGGGGAGCAGGATGACCATGGCATCTGGCAATCTTGGTAATCTTGCCCCACTTGCCCGAGACTCAAATGACCAGGATTGCATGGTCATCTTGACCCTGCCTTGAAGTGGAGCGAGATGACCAAGATTGCTGGCAATCTTGTTGAACTAATTGTTCAAATTCCCGGCACACTGTATTACTACTGCTGCTGCTGCTGCTGCTGCTACCACTACTCCAACTAGTACTACTATAACTAACTCTACACCCTAAACCCCAACCCGAAACGGTTAGTGCTTCGCTCTCCAAAGTCTAGCAGATTAGCAGCAGCAAACAAAAGCCTGCGACTCATGTCCCCGACATTCGCGTAAACCTGCAACTCCAAACTTACAACTCCCAGAACAGCTGAGACGCAATTGTGACCCTGGTATCGCTGAAGGCTTTGTATGCTGAGCCCACTCCTGCAGCTTATGCTGTTCACTGCTCTCCCTCCATGTAGAAACATGGAGCTTTGCGCGTTGAAAAATCAGATCGAAAGCGTAAGAACTGCTGACAGCAACAGGGCCCCCTAAAAGCAAAAAGAGCGCAAACAACTCCACCCTTTCGGACCAACGCACCAGCAAGCGTGCACGGCGAAGCTTTGCGTTTTCAAGCGAAGATAGGCATGCTCCTAGCATGCCAAACGGTTGTGTCTATCTCCGTGCAGACCCTGGACAACATCGGACGAAGAAAGCACTGCCGTCGCCTCCTTGCGGACAGGATTGTGTCGCCGAGGCAGGTTTGACATGTTTGGGCATTTTCTTTCTGGGCGAATTGTGTGCATGCCATCCCTCTCCCCAAAGGGCCCTTGCATGTGATATCTCTTGTGTTCGACACAGGGCCAAGCTCGACATGTTTCCCCATGAAGCTTGGCTCACATGTACGGTGTAGGCAACTACTCACATGTAGCTTGCGCTTGATGTGTTGGAAGAGAGAAGCACCTGTGCTTTGCCAAGATCTAAGGTTTGAGCCAATTTCCTGAGCCCTGGCTCCTTTCGCACTTCGGATCAGCGAGAGCTGGACTTTTTGGAGCTGCTGGTAGCAAGGAGTTTGACAAAGGATCTCGGAGCCCGAAGTGCGGTGCTTAAAGTTGTTATTCAAAGGCTGCAGACAGTCCCCCCGATTGGGGGTTGCAGCAGCCAAGTAGTTGTAGGGAAGTTTTGCTGCACAGTGACTTGCGAGCACCCGGAAACCATGCCAAATCAGATAATGCAGAATGACATCACAAGGGATCTGTGCGCGCAATAGCTGGCGAAGAGCACAGCAGATGCGAACACGGCAGGTGCAAAAGCGCCTGCCCGATTCAGGTGCAAGAGAACTCAATACTGACTTCAGACTTCAGCATACAAGCAAGAAGATTTCTGGCAACCTGTCTGGCGGCAAGGACGCGATATTGTGATCAAGGCGTACCTGTCAGGTAGCGATCACGCAGCCGAAGTGTGCTATAAACGAAAGGAGAAGATTCTCTGCACCTCCCGCAGTATCACGACGCAGAGCGCCGGGAATACTGGAATGGGCTCGGGTTTTCGGAGCCAAGGCGACAGGGCTGAAACACTTCGGGAATTAGAGCCGGTAGTGCGGCCAACGCCAATCATGGGAGCATGCAAACATGAATGCCCGCTCCATTGTTTCACAGAGTCACGCGAGGTGATCGATCATGGTTTGTAAATCGTCCTGCATCCGCAGAGCTGATGTGGCCTACTGCCCGACAGCGTGGTGCCACAATGCAGCACAACATGAAGAGAACATCCTACTAGCCAGTCTGTCTTGTTCTCTTGGTCGCACGTCCTCCACCGTTGATCTGCCGGCTCGCCAGAAGTGAGGTGTGTAGAACTATAATACTTGACTGGCTTATACTGGCACCGTCGAAGGCAACATGCACGCAGTGACATGGCCCTCCATGTTTAGGAAGCCGAAGTATTTCCTTGTCAACGCAGTGCCTGAGCGATTTATATTCTAGACATTATACACTGCAAAGAACAACAGTCGACCCATTGATGTGGGCCAAGCGTGTGTGCTCCTGGATGGTGAGCAGCAGCCATGGTTACCCCCCCCCCCCCCCCCCCACAAGCAAGTTGCGTTGAATGCACAACCGGCAGGAGCTTGTCAGAAGGAATTGGCGTCTAGCACGTGAGCCAGACGAAGTGATGCTGACCTGAGCTTGTTCTCGACCATGGCAGCTTTGGCCCGGGAGATACACGAGCGGCCTCCAACGTAAGTAGAGATCAGCATTGCTTCGTGTTCATGTTGCAACACCTGCAGCAGGCTAACTGACGCATTCACACGAAGGTCAGACAGAAATAAGGAATGTATCACCAGCACCATAACGCTTCCAGCAATGCATCAGGAGCCAGCCAGCCTTCATGCCAGGGCTGCTAACATTTTGCGGCTACCCTTCGAGTTCCCGAAACTGCACTATCCTTCGCATTCCTTCGCCCGTCGCACCTTGCAGCTTTCTAAAGAGCCAACCAAGGTTTGCAGCATGCCTAGCTGCAGAGATCCTGGCCTTTCTGGCTCATCGCCTTGAGGCCTGACATTGCTACGTCTCAGTTGCATGTGAGTCTGCCCACCCTGGTCCAGGCAAGCGACATGGAAAAGAAAAGTGGTGCACGAGAGGTGCCACATCATTCTGTCACAGGGGATGGTTCGTCGATTAAGCGAGCATGGCTTGTGCAATCTGCCAAAGTGAGGAGCTAGAGCGCAGCTAGCCATTGTAAATCTCCCAAGTCTGGCGCACAAGCTACAGGCTTTGTTGCACTTGAGTGCGTCTGCGCCCCTTCTGGCCCTTGGCCTCGCGCTGAAACCGCTGCTCGGCCTTAGTGATCTGCCCACTTTCACAATGGAGATACTCTCAACTCTGGCGCAGCCTGTCATTAGTGCACAAGGCATCCTATCTTGATTCCATCCGTTTTCGTAGCCGTCATCTGATCAGGTTCCTACCGGCATTTCAGCAGTCCATCGCGGAGCAGGCATACGCATGCATGGAGACGCACAGGGGTTAATTTCATGTCGCCGGCTCTGTTTCCGAAAGTCGTTGCGGAGACTGTCACGCCGCCACGTCATGAACAGAACGCGACAGAAAGAAAGCTAGAGAAGATTCTGAGAAGATCTTTCCAGAAGGCAAAGTACTTGTAGTGACGCTGAGCTTGAAGGGTAGCATCCTATCCGAGCCCCCAGCATGTCCCGGTGTTCCACAGCTTGTCCCAAGTCTTGCTGCATCGTGTTCAGGCGAAATCAGGGCGGGAAAGCTTTTGGGCTTCCTACGATTCGCAGGCGCAGCTTGTGCTCTTGTCGTGATGGTACGTTGTGCGGAGCGTGCAGCGGTTCTCCCGCAGCCATTGCCGCGCCCAAGCGCTATTTCAGTCTGGAGTCCCACACTTATTCAAAGCACTCCTTGCGATGGGTTGGGGTGGCTACGGCAAGGGCGGGTATGGCTGGGGCTTCCCGCCCATGATGATGATGGGTTATGGCAAGGGCAAAGGCAAAGGACTTCGCGGCTTCTCGAACGAGAAGAAGGTATGGATCGGGGGGTTTGAAGCTGGCCAGACAGATATTGAGAAGAACAAGAAGCTCAAGGAGCACATGTCCCAGGGCGGGCTCGAGTGCGTCTTCGCCGAAATTAACAAGAACGGCATCGCCGGCGCAGCATACAAGACGCCTGAGGACGTGCAGAAGGCAGTGGCAAGTCTCAACGGCTCTCTTTTCGAGGGCGTCCAGATCCAAGTCGACATTTGGCAGAAACCCGCATCCGAGCCTCAAGCTTGAGCCATGAACCTCCCGGGGACCATGCCCGATTCGATTAGTTTGCTACCGGTAGCACTGGATTTTGGCGCAGCTCTCCTGGCATTTTAAAAGGATCTTGCACTGCAACATGCTGCATCCAAGTCTGAAGCATTCCACTCACAGTTGCTTGCATCGTCAAAGTGGGCCATGTCACGATATGTGAGTTCTGTCGGCAGGCCCGAGATGCGGCTCAGCTCATGCAGAAGGCGACTCCAGCGCCGGATGAATCAAACGAAGGCAGCAAGGGCTCTTGTTTGCAGGCTGGCTTGGCATGGCGGTGGCTGCGACGACGAGTGCAGCGGCCTGGACATCCGAATTTGTTGGTATCAGGGCCACGTAGAGGTTGAAGATGTGCCAAATTGCAGATTGAGCGTGCTACATCTGCGAAACCCAAGGTTGCTCAAAACCACCGATTGGCGAAGCTGCCGGCAGATGCTATTGGGCCGAAGAGCATCGCAATGCTTACAGCATGCAGCCTGTGCACGTGCACATACTTATGATGGTGTCTGCATTTATGTGGAGTGCATCAATAGAAGCAGCGTTGCACACCATGTCAGGCTGGTCGACAGCAACTTGGTTTTGCAATCGGTGTGCGGGCATGTGCTGCAAGAGCACAGCGTTTCGAGCACAAACAGACACAAAAGAGAACAAGCAGAGAAAGCAGGAATCTACGGCGAGAGCATAAAATCCACGCGCAGTCTTTCCTCGTGATTGAGGCTTTCATCAACTGGCTGCTGGGCTGTCTTCATTGAGACCTGGTGCCAACCAGGACGATGCTGCCGTGCTTAACCCCTGGTTCATTGCAGCTTTCGTGTTTCTTGAACTCGTTGAAAGGCTCTGAAGAGCACCCTGGACGATATCACGCGCGAATGCGACGATGCGAAAGCCTTGTTTCAGGCATTCCGAGCTCCCAAAATCCATAACCCGGTGCAAGTCGACTGTTTCCAGTTCCGAGCCCTCCGTGCACCGGCGAACTGCCTCGCTGAACGCAATTCCTAGGTCTTACGTTTGGAGTTCTGTAGGAACACAGTCTGGTGATGCGCACTCTCTGTGTACATACCATGCGAGTGATGTCACGTGTTCACCCGTCTCATCCAAGGCATATGCTGTCCGTTCTTCGCACTCGTGCAATGGAAATCCAGGATGCTACAATGAAGTCTTTTGGTGATGAAGTCTTTTGGTTAGCCCATTGAGTACAGTATGAGGGAGCATCAGGTGGATCGGGGTGGCCAGTGATGCAAGCGAGCCCATTGATTAGGCAGGTTGTCATTGATCCCCTTGGTTTTCCTTGCTGTGAAAAGGTATGGGCGTCAAGTTTCGTTTGGGTGATGTGGCCAACAACGGCCCAGAAAAGAAGGTCTGTTTTTCATTGATTGTAAAGGAGTGTTTTAAAGCTGTGCAGGCAGGCAAACTGCAAGAGGCGGAGTCCTGCTACGAGAAGCTGCTCAGCAACCTGAAGGTCCGCACAGCTGCAGCTTTAGGCAGCGTTATCTTTGCCTGAAGAGCTCGCCCCTGGTATGATAACTCGACCTGGCCACCCTGGCCTTAAAGCATATTTATCCCTGCAGTTCCCGATGAGCGAAAGACAAGCTGGCCATCAGAGACACCACTACTCCCGCATTCCCGTACCTGAATAGCAGTAGCCAAAGCACTCTGTCGACTCCAGGTCCACAAGCTTCACTTGGGTTGTCGAACTTCTCTTGCTGGCCGCTGCACTGGCTCGCTCAGGATGCAGAAGCCAGTCAATCTGATGCCAGGCTACAACAAGTCATGATCCGAAACTGCATTCCCCAGATCTTCGAAGTGACTAATACTTGGCGCCGAGCCATGATCAGTCCAGCGGACTCTGAGCTGGCAGAGAAAGAGCAGATGTGGCTCTGGCGCTGGAATCAGCAGAAACTGGCGTTGGCAAAGGCAGGGAACCTGAAGTCTGCAAGCTCGTGGGCGCCTCGCCAAGAAATCGCCTTCAGCCTACGACCCCACTGCTGGTATGCGCTAGTGACTTCTGCCTTCAACCACTGAAGCATCCCAAGCAAAGAAATGTAAGGGAGTCTTGCTCGGACTCAGCTGTGCGGCTTGCCTCCAGCTTGACGAGCGTAGTCTACGCTAGACATTTTGCTATATGTATCACTAAGTTCTAGAGCAGGAGGCCTCTCGTCTTGGCTGAGGTTTTGTCCTTAACATAGCAGTCCGGAAAGACTTTCAACCGCATCGAAAGCAATTGCCCCTAAGCCGATGAGGTTCGCGACATGGGAGGTCGCCCATACCTGCTGCCACCGCCAATGAGAGACGGAAAACTTCTCTTGGAAAGGGCAAGACCATCGGACGCGTGTCTTAACCAATCCGACGTTGGCAGCTGCAGATCCCGCCGAACAGGAAGCAAGCCGTATCTGGGCCAGGATATACACCTGTCTGTGCTGTAATCAACCGCCGTCCACCTGCCAGACTATTTTAGGCAACAGCACCGTTCTTCGAGAAAGAACCGACACTAAGCACGCCCAGGGCGTAAATCAAGGAAAGCTGAAACTAAGCTCGCCGGAGTCTTAACTGCCTTTACTATCACCAAGCCATCTCGTTGATTTGTTGGGTGGCTGAGGAGGAAAGCCGGGACTCTTGTTTTTGTTGCTCCGGCAAGAAGTGGAATTAGAGAGCAAAAACAGAACGGCCCTTCGGACGCGTAGCCAACTATGTCGAGGCTTCAGATCTCCTCACCGAGTATTAATTTGAAAGTAGTTGAAAAACCAATGTCTTATGCAAGCCTGAGGGAGCCAGTTGTCTTGTAGTTGGAGTCTGCTGAAATCATTTTCTGTAAACGTGAGGTCGATTGAAGCAGTTAGTGAGTTGGGTTTTTGTCGAATCCTTCTTTGAAACCAGAAGTTTCACCCCGGCGCAGAGGCTCCTGCGGACCAAATCGGCGCCGAGCATGGCCGTATCCCACTACCACACCGAGCAGCGACGCGCCTTCCAGATTGAGGCCAGCGTCCTTGGAATGAAGTACTCTGCGTCCAAGCCGAGATTTGCGAAGGGACGGTAAACGCCTGTAAACTCCATTGCCAATCACTGGAAACTAGTTACTAATTGGCAGTTTGGTCTTTATCCACTGCCGAACACTGCTTCCGCCTGCCAAGGGCAGGCATTTTGTCTAGGACTCCGACCGAGGCCGTACGATCTGTACGGGGATAGAAGGATAAGTCCTGTAAACCGGCAGACGCGAATGCTTATCTGATTGCGTGATCTCGAATGCTGGCACTTCCAAGAAGCGGCAGCATGAGAAAGAAGCTTTTCCCTAGCCCTTCCGAAGGGAGGTGATTCATTGTGCTCCTGCTAGCACACGATATAGTTACAGTCCCTCGGCATGGGAGCGTTTCTCGAGGCTTCCTTGAACCAAGTCGTTTGCAAACTCTCGCAACTCAACATAACAGTAGCTACCTTGCCGTGGCAGTTTCGATGACAGGTGAGGACCTAGTCGCAAGGCGCCTAAGAGGATCTCACACCAGGCCGGAGAGAAAACAGGCACGAAAAGCCTTTGCCGTGGGCTGCACTGGAATAGGAATAGCCTTTTCGGGCAGATGGGGTAGTCCCAGTCCCAGGGCCGAAGCATCTCGCACAAGCATCAAAACTGCGTGTGAAAGACGATCCATGTCTCTGTACAGTCGCAGCCCGCACTTCGCAGCGAGCGCCTTCGTGTGCTGACGAGCCCTGGCATTGAAGATAGCGTATTGATGCTAAGAGGCTCTGAGGGGTTGGTTTTTGTCGGTCATGAGGAGGAACAGGATCCGCCGAATTTGCTCTCCCGTATGGTAACCGTTGCGAAGTGGCCATGCAGCTGCTAAGGAACCTGGCAGTGTGCCAGAAAAAGCGTGGCCGTGTCTGCCTCAGCTGCCCGAGCTTTGAAAAAAGTTCACGTCCAAGCCTTCGAAGCTCGAACAGACGAGTATCAATAGACGAACAGACGCGTAACAATAGTCTGCGTCCTAGACTTGGCTAGGTGGCTTCCCTCGGCTCAACAAAGCCGTACAGAGCAGCTACAACTCAATCGATCTGAGCTTCGCCACTTCCAGGATATCAGGAGGCTTTGCAGTCGGCGACAGCAGCTTTGCAGATGGATCCCAAGTGTGTGAAGGCTCGGCCGATGTAGCATGCGCCAAGTTCAGCTGTGTATGCTTGACTGAGTCAGCTATGTCGATGAAGCATGCGCTGATATCAACTGTGTTACCAGCGCTCAGCTCATTTTCTAAAATGCGGCCTCGGACCTTCCAGGCGCTCTTCACTCGAGCTGGCTGCTTCCGTGCCGAGGGCCGTCTTGCTGAGGCAGTGGACGACTTTGCCATAGCCCGGGGCTCAAAGCAATTGCGAATGTTCTCTGTTGCTGTAGTCGCCCAGTTGGCACCTATGGTCGCTGCATACTGGGAGGCCTGCAGATACGATGCCACTCTCGCTGATGCCAAGAAAGAGTGGCTACAAGCACACAAGGAATTGGCCAAGGCAAGCTGACCTGAACCTTGATTTGACACCTGACTGCGAGGGCTGTCTCAAGATGGAACTGAGATGAGCTGAGCAAGCACGGGCTCCCTGCAACTCTCGGCACCAGGCGACCGGTGAGCATCAACACTTCAGCAGAGTCCCGGCCATGCATTGCATGCCTGCACATGCCATTCTCGAATCGCCCTGTGGCTAGGTTGAAGTCCTGGCACTTGTGGCGGAGATGAATCGCGCTCATACGGCCGTGCAGGAGGCTGGCAGCGCTTTCGGTGTTCTGATGCAGTCGCCGAGCCAAAGGTCCAATCGTCCCTGCGATTAGACTTGCTGCTGCGTCCTCGCATGCGCCCGGCCTCCATCTCTTCTCACTTCTCCCACTCCCTGCTTGATTCCTCTGGGTGAAGATGAAGCTCCTCAGCTCTTTTCTGGTGAGGCAATAAGCCAGCTCGGCCAGAGGCTGCTGCTCGCCATGAGGCGAAGACACATCTCGTAGTGTTCCGACGTGGAATCCATTAGCACAGCCTTGCGCATCGCAGGGAGAGGGAGATGGAGCAGCACTTGCCCTTCCTGGCGGCCCACGAGTTGCCCGTGCTGAGCACGAGAGAGTTGCCCAAAGATGCTTTTGGAAAGATGCCTTTAGAAAAAGGGCCCCAGCAGCCTTCTCTCGGTCTCGCTTTGGCGCCACACCCAAGGCTCGTTCGGCAACATGGCTTGCCAGCAGATCCGATCTTGGACCTGCAGCTCTGCAGCTCGCTGTTTCCAGAGAGCCATTGGCGCATCCGTAGCTCTGCGCAGGACTTCGATCTCACGGCAGAGGCCTTTCAGGAATTGCTTGGGCGCTTCGAGGAGCGATCAGCAGAGCATTGCAGAGCGCTCGGTTCCGGGACTGCCCGGGCCCGGCACCAGAGGATGATGACGAGGTCATGGAAAGCGCCCAGAGCATGCTGCATCCTCCAGGCAGAGACAGAGAGCTCGCAAGATGCTGGATGAAAAGGGGCCCTTGTGTAAAAAGACAGGAAGAGGCAATCCAGCCAGGGCTCGACAAATTACAATCCCACAGCTGCTTGGAAAGAGCTTGGTGGGGAAATTTGACTTCGCTGGCGTACCACGAATTCCAAGGATCCTGGAGGCTCACAAGGCGCAGCAGCGCAACACGCCTTCCTGTGCCTCTCTTGTCAAAAGCAAGGATTTGATGCCAGGTCATGGTGCAGGAGTTGGAAACACTCTTGTCGCAGTTCAAGGACTTGTCTGCGCAAGAACTCGATCGCGTGGATTGCAAGGCGTCGTCACGTAGTTTTGCTCATCTGGAGCCGTGCTGTGCTGCCGCGCCCCGAGTTAATCGAAGCCACTGCCGAGCTGCAGACGTACCTCGGCGTTTCCAGGCAAGGCGCTGGCACCGGGACTCAATCCAAAGCACTGGCCGCGTCTCGTGAGATGTTGCGAGGCTGCAGCTGCAGCCAGAAGACGTGGAGGAGGCGCGGGATGCTGCGAAGGTGGGCTTTCAATACATCGCAGCTTGCAGAGGCCATACTGACGAACGAGATGGAGCTGCAGAACGATGCAGACTTCGTCAAGTGCAGCGAAGCTTTCCTGCAAGTGCATCTTATGTGCTTACTACAAGCATCTCAAGTGGCTCAAGTACGTATCCTTGCGGGTTACTGGGAGGACAAACTTATGCTCGATTCTACCGGTGTGCCTCCTGCATTTGGCCACTTGCAGGAAGATCTGGCGAGCCTGATGCAGGAACTGCTCACGGCCGCGGCCGAGCTGAACCACGAGAGATAAATCTTAGTCTTAGTCAGCCTCCCATGCCACATCGGAGCAAAAGTTTCACCTTACTCACAAGCTAGCACCAGTTGCTCTGGCGCAACAAGTGCGTCTCTGAATTGGCATATTAATCTAGAAGACGTTCGACGTTTAAGTTTGACCTGGGATGTCTCTTTGTCGAACAGAACACTGTGTATCGTGAGCCGCAGATCAGACGGCCCTGCGCAGGCCGAGGGAGGCAGCCGAGAAGTCGATGCCCCGAGTTTGGGCTCCGCTTTGCTCAGAAGCACAAGCTGCCGCAGCAACCGGTTGTCTTTTGAGGAACTGATCGAGATGGCCGTTTCCTTCCTGAGCCAAACTGCTGCCACTTTGCTGATCGGTTTGCAGATGGGCCGCCGCAAGCTGAAACCGAACCGCGAAGGCGAGGCCGGCGGCAGAGAAGGACAAGTTTCTGGCCGCTCACTTGGCCCCTTTTCATGCCGTCACATCTTGGCAGTATGCTGCGTTGCGCTGTGCTCTACACGGCGCTTTGCGTGCGAGGCTGACAAGGGCCTGTCTCCGGATGACATCCAGGAGGTGCGCTTGGCTGGAGCATCCTCTGAACCCGGTATTCTGATAAACAGCTGGTGCGACAGGCATATCGGCGCCTAGAGCAGCGTGGAAGTGGAGGCAGAAAGTGCAGAGAGTTTTTGCCTGCTGGGGTTTGCCTTCAGACCAGGCCCGGGTGGTCGCCAATCTGGTCCTGGCCAGGCGGCCCCTTGAGAGCTGCAGCTGGCACTAGGCGCATGACAGAAACTTCTGTGTGCAAGGGCGGCGGCCCCCAGCCGCCCGGTGGCCCGCAGCCGCCGAGTGGGCCGCAAGCTCCCACCGGCCCTGCAGTGCCCAGCTCACCGCTGCCCCCGCGGCGACCGCAACTGCCTGCCCACAGCCCAGTCTCGTTTTGCCAGTGAAGTGTGCACGAAGCAATCAACAGAATTTCCCAGAGCAGAAGCTTGCATTTCTCTTCCAGCCGCTTCGATCACCCAGGCGCCGACCTACCCAAGTCCCAGTCCGGGCTATCAGGCACCAGCCCAGAAGTTTAGCTTGTGTCTGCGGCTGCAGCATGGTGTTTTGTTGAGGCGATGCCACCACCGTATCCCAGCGGTAGCCCTTATCAGGTGCCTCCGCGACCTGAGAAGACTGGAGACTTGAGCCAAGATGTGCAGTCCATGCCAGGCACCACCGGTGCCACCTTTCGCCATGCCGCCCATGCTGTACCAGGCTGCACCCGCCAACTGCAACTAAACGGGAAAGATGCCGATAGGAAACCTTGTCCGGAATGACACGACTGCTCAACGAATTCCCTGAATCATGCACAGTTGCCTCCATCCCAATGCTGATGCTTCTGCGTTGGGAGGTATCCCATGCAAGGTTAGCCATGGTGCGGTTAAACATAGCTCCGAGTTGGTAAGGGCCGCTCAGCAGCTCTCAGAACGCCTTGAAAGACCTTCGTACTGTCGCAGCATCCTGTTGCTTTCAATGGATCGCGGTTGGTCCATTGAACCAGCCCTCAGCCTGACTCGGAATGCTTCCAGGGATATCCACCGGAACCTCCGTCTGGCGGGCCTTGGTGGGCTGGGCACTCGGCGTCCAAATGCAGCTTTTCCACGTTATACGGAGCGTTTGGTCAGTGAGGCTTGGCTTCTCGGGGGTCTTGGTGCAGGTACGTCCAAAGGACTGCAGACATCCAGCACACTCTGCCTTCTTGAATAGGCTTGGTCGGGACCTTTTTGGTGAACCCCTTCAAGCCCAGGCCCCAGGCCTCAGAGAGAGAAACGCACCGAGTGCGAGAGCGCAAGAGGGCTCCTGGGCCTCTCCAAGGCCGGAGGACTTCAATTTCTCGGAGGCTTCATGGCTCTCGGCGACCCACCTGAAAAGAGCCAGTCAGAGTCGAACCAGTCAATGACGGATCCTGGTCCAATGACCTGAAAGGACGGGAGCCTTCCGGCGCCCAAAAGCGTTCGAGCCTTGCAGAGATGCACAGGGGTTGTCCGTCGTTTGTGGTCACGACTTGCGAGGCAGAGCCGCTGGAGTCCGGCAAGTCTGATCCCACCCCTCAGCCTGACGGAAAGGCCATGCTGCCCTTTGCTGCCCAACTGTGCCTCATGTCACCGACGCCTCAGCCTCTCCGCCTGGCGAGGCATCTCTGGAAGAGCTCCTTGCCCTGCTGAGAAAACAGAGCAAGCTCCTTAATCAAGGTGTCAATGTGTTGAGTTGCGCCGCTGCGCAAATGGACATGTCGGCAGCTGGCTTTCCATCGAGGTGAAGAGGCCAAAAACAATGTCGAGATGTGCGCCAAGACCTTGCAGACTACACAGGACAGTCGTGTCACAAAAGCACGGTGCACAGACTCGAGATAGTTTGGCTGTTGAAACTTAGCTTTAAGTCAACATGTCCGTCCAGTGCGGGAAACTTGTCCTTTACATGAGGAGCAACACCAGAAGATGTTTGCAGAGATGCAAAAGGTTGGGTTGGCCACAGTTGGAGCTTGGAGTCCGGAAAGGGCCTGTCATCTGCCGCAGGCTCTGCAGACTGTGGTGGCGCAGAAGAGCTCCAAGCCGCAAACAATGGAGCTCTCTGTCCCAGCCATACACAGCACTCGGCATTGCATCACTCCTGATGGAATCCATGTGTACACTGGGAACAAAAACTGCCGCGACCGCCAGCGTGAAGCACAGTGCTGCGACGATCCTGCAAAGCTCCACAGCTTCAGCCATGCAACCTAGAAACTAGCAGGGTCACCGCTTCAGTCAGCTCGCCTTGCAGCCCCGCTTTGCACAAGATGCGTCTTGACATCTGCAGCAAGGACTTCACGTAAAGGTCGCCTCGAGTAGGTGCTTGTAGAATGTCCTTCCCCATGACCGAACCACTGCCTGGGGACGACATGCATCCCCAAGTCATGCAGGCGGGTGGACAACTCCAAAGCTCCATCTTGTTTTTGCAGGCTTGTGAATTGCAGGCTCTCATGCACGTCGTTCAGCTGACAAGTCAGAAAGAAGGGCGGCCTGAAGAGGATATCAGCTTTGTAGCTTGCAGTCACCAAGTTATTGAGCGTCAAAGGTGATTTTCCAGTCTGCTTTGGACAGGACGTGTTGGCTGAGTTCTCAACCCCGGAGGGTATGAAAGCTTTCACCGAAATGATGAGCATGGCTGCTGGAGGACTTGGGACAGCCTGTCGGCATGATTTCAGGTGGGTTGGCGTGGCGGCAGGAGCTGCAGGCAGCCTCCGAAAGACCCGCATGCTGGCAGAAGCGACCGGCAGAGTGGGAATGTACATGGACTGCCTCGGCGAGTTGCTCGGTTCGGCAAGAGAAGAGGTCTTGTGCTTGTTGCCCTTGTGCTCTGAGATCCTTACGGGCAGTTCCGAGGCACTGCCCCTGGCTGCTTGAAGATGAGAAAGGTGCTTCGGATGATGGGGAACACGGATGTCTGCTGAAAGACTGTTCCGGCAATCTGCAGCGAGTCTATTTTGCCCTGGATGCCTCGAGCTTCACAGTACCACTCTCTCTTCAGGGTCAGGGTTGCCCGGTTGCCCCTCCACGAGCGTATGCTGGATTTGTCTCTAAATGCAAGCAACGTGACCCAGGATCTTGCCAGTGCCACTGGCTTCTACGCCAGCCGCTTTGCCGTGTGCATGCCAGAGGTGAAGTGGTATGCCACGGAACAAATGCTGGATCCAGCAGATTATGTGGGGACCATGATGCTTGAGGATTGCGTCGAGTACATGACCACAGCTCCGGAAAGTCCTGCGAGATCGAGAAGCCAGAAGAAGTCTTTGATGGATGACGACCCCGCGAACTCCGACGAAGACATGGAGGACCGCTGATCAGCAGTAGGACCCCTTTCAAGTTCCTGTAAGATGGGAGTTTAATGAGTTTCTGAAGCACTCCGAAGCTTGCTTTAAGGAGTGGACTTAGTGGGTCGTTGGGAAGTGATGTTGCAGGACTTCGACGGCTTCCTGTTGTCCCTGGGCACGGAGCCTAGCCGCCAGGCATCCGTGCTGCTCCGCGGCCGTGTTGGCTGCGTGGATGTCACCGAGGCCAGCTGAAAAGGGGCCACAGAGCTAATAAGAGCAACCTGCGTGGCGATGTTATATCCTGCTTTCTGTATGTTTTGTGGTGCCTTTTGTGAGGATGCTTGGGAGGGTGTGCAACACCTGCTGGGCAGATGTTCGGCGTTGGTTTGCACCTCCTTGTTAACGCAGGCCGGGTCTCTGACAAATCGGGCAGGGGCAGGGGGGGTTTTGTCATGCAGACAGGGACATGGCCACATGGCTATATGAGAGCTGAGGTCGGATACAAGGAGCCTTATATTTGGACGGATGTGTTGCAAGGGGCCGCTCCACTGCTCGAGGAGGGCGGTATCCTGTTGCTCTATGACTCCGAATCTTCGTCGGAATTTGCTGCTAGTAGTAGTTTTCCTGGTGTATTTTTCTTGCGTCACAGTTTCCCGCGTCCCCGTACATGATGGATCAAAGGAGAAGTGGGGTGACTTTGCAAACGTTGGCAAGATGAGCAAATTCATCGAAGAGCAGCATCTGGATCTGGAGTTGGTCGACAAACAGGAGCCTGTCGACTACTCAGGCGATGTGGACGGACGGATGTTCGTCCTGGTCTTCAAGAAGACGAAGCGCACTGCTCGCAAACCAATCACATGGCTTCTGCAGCGAGCAGAAGACTTCAAGCAGGCTGGAAACAGCTATTACAGCAACCCGGCGAAGCGCAAGCACCCGGAGCAAGTGGTCTGCTCCAATCCACGGGTTCAGGTGCTGTGGAAAGCCGTGGCCTGCTACGTTCAGGGTCTGGACTGTCTAACGATGGTGAGGTCTGCCCTCTACGAGCAGGAGCATGACATGGCATCTGGGACGGCTACCGAAAGAGAGAGGCAACTGAAGCTCCTGTCCTCCAGGCACTTGGATCAGATGTTGTTATACAGTGACAGAAACATTGTACGTTTGTTTACGTTGCTTGGATGTTTGTTGCTTAGATGTTTGTATACGTGGTGTATGCTGAGAATCTCAGTTCCTGCTTGATCCAGACGACACTCATGACCTGGTCCAGGCCCTTCAGCCTTATCGAGTGCCCTTGCCCAAGCTTCGAAGAAGACCCAAAGCAAGGCATGAAACCAAGGTCAGCCAGAAGCGCCAAATCTGCAGCAGCTTTTAGAGACAAAACAGCAGGGCGAGGGTTGATGATGCCTCGCTATGAGCCAGGCTGTACTGCAACTTGGCGGCTGCATACCTGGAATTGGGCCCGACGGCGCAAACTTACCAGCACGCACTCAAAGTTGTGAACTTAGCTCTGGAGCCTTGGCCGTCTTATTCCTGTGGCCTCAACTCATGCAACCTCGCCCTGCATCGGACCTCCGTGACCCCACTGTCGAGCCCAAGGATTGTGCACCAGACTGGGACAGGGCAATTGAGCGCAAGGCTAAGATTTGTGAGGTGCTGCGCACGCAAAGGCAGGGCGGCGACTAGATGTTAAACCTGTGTTCCTCTCCGCAATGGGCCTCCAGCGCAAACACACACACATCGTGGTCTTTAGTAGCGGATTTACCTCGTGCAGACGGTCTGGGCTGCAAAAGATTTGCCTCCAATTACGTGCCGCTAATTCAGCGAGCTGACTTTCGAAGAACAAGAGTCTCGAAGCACAAAGCGGCTTCCATCTGCTCTCCACACAAGTTGGAGTTGTGCGTTGTCCTCTCCGTCTTGTTCCAGCGCTCCGGCAGGCAGGAGCATGTCTATGATGCGATGCTGCTGTGCCAAGGCTAACTGTTTAACCTGCCCTCACTACAGCGCAGGGCTTTATGCTTGGAAAGGCTGAACAGCAATCGGGGAATGCCAGTGCTAGATGCTTGCGAAGCGAGTCGCAACGTTTGGCCGAAGAGTAGATGCATTCGCAAAGGCCTCCACCATCCAGGCTCTGGCAGCGATGATCCAAGGTGCAGGGCCGCGACCCCAGAGCGAAACGTAGCTGAGTTCCAGTAGTGCAGCAATGGCTCTCAAGTCCTGTTTCACGTTCAGCTTGCTCGTGCGCGTCGGAACCACCATGTGGTCTTCGTCAAAGCTAACGGCATGGCATTTCGCAAGCCGCCTGGGGCCCAAGGGGTTTGGAGGGTTCTACCCTGGTGCCATGTTAACGAAGTGCAGATGGCTACTGATGGCGGCCACTCAGTGCGAGTTTGATGTTTCTGTTCTTTTGTTCCTGTGCTTTTGCTCGGCTCTGCAGCACTGACACTAGCTTGGGACAGAGGCCTTGGCCGCCTCAGCCATTGCAATCACCACCAGATCGGACAGCAGCAACGGTGGAAACCCAATCCGAAAGGCTGCTTGGCACGTATGCAAAGATTTGGATGGCACAGGAGAAATGTGCTCACTCCGGGATGTACACATTCTGGCCTGGCCTCAAAGGTGATCCGGATGATGCAGAAAATGGGTGACAAAATCGAGAAGGATGGCAAAAAGGAAGCAGATCTTTATGAGAAGTTCGAGTGTTACTGCAAGGGAACCATAGAAGAGCTTCAGAAGACGCTTGACAGAAGATGTGCAAGGCCAATCGAGCAACTACCGAATTGCATTGTCCCAGTCGGAAAGCAGGTGAACTGCTAGTAGTGGTAATCATGTTGTTTGACCAAGGAGCATCCAGCAGGCAGAAAGCAATCCGCTTTCTCAAGCCGACATCGACGAAAAGAAAGCAGAAGTTGAATCGCTCCAGCAGGATCTCTCTTATCTTCTGTGAAGCATCCGAATCACTAAGTGTTCTGTCTGGTCCGCAGGAGGTCACGAAGCTGAAAGAGGACCGCCTGGCTGAGGAGGAAAGCTTGAAGGCCGCGCAGGCCCAGCGCAACAAGGAGCATGACAACTTCGTGGCTGAGGCGGGCAGAGTTAAGAGGTGTACTCTTTCGTTAGCGTTGGCACTGCTTAATCATGTTTGAGGCGACGCAGTAGCGCAACCGCGGCCCCAAAGTAGGGTCTCCAGGCGGTTGCAGGAGTTGCACAAAATGCCGGTGAGGGGTGGTTAAGGTATAACTGTATAACGCAATCCGCGAGCTCATAATACAATCCAAGATTGAAGATGTTCCCGCAGGTCACTGAGGAAACGCAGGTGGTTTCCACCATCGACCAGGCTTCTGCAGCCATCGGTGGCACGACAGAGACTCCCACCTCCTTCATGCAGATCACTGACTCTAAAGGGCAGGCACGGGGAGAGAGCGAGAGAGAATGATGGCGACCCTTACGCCCAGAAAGAAAGAAAAGAGAATGATGAGAAGTGCTAACACTGGAGGCACATCGAGCATCAAGCGTTCCACACCCTGACTGGCCCTTTCAGGTTCCTCGGCTTCTGCGCTTGCTCGAAGGCGACCTCCGCCTGGACAGCGCCGACAAGCGCCGAGCAGCCGCTTTCCTCCAAGGCGGAGTTTCACGAAAGTGAGCGAAGCACGCTTGACCGGAAGCCTTAGACACCCATCACCGCTGCTACTCGTATTACATTGTAGGCCATTCTAGAGCCACCTTTTTTCTTCGTCATTTTTTTGGGGGATGGGGGGGGCAAGGTGACCAGTCATTCTCGTCACCTTGGTTGTGGGGGGCAAAATGACCGGTCACTTTGGTCACCTTGGTCCCTCTTGCACTACTCGCCCCTCAGATACCTGGCGCGTCATTTTGGACATCTTGCTGGCCGCGGGCTCATACCACTTGCACCACTTGCGAACTAAAATTACCAGAATGACTCCCCGCTCCCCCTTGGATACCATATGCACCAGTTGACAATTTAAATAGGTAGCATTAGTCAAATGATTCAGTATTAGTGCTGGTATTTTCGGGTTTTAGGGTTAGTAGTTGTAGCATTCGTGGAACTGTTGGTAGTAGTACTAGTAGTCTCAGTATCAGTATCATGATTAATGTTAGTATTCGTCTTGGGATTAGGATTCGTTTTAGTTTTTTGTAGCATTAGTGTTACGCCCGCCTGGCGCGTGCAGCGGTTTAGGGGTTTTAGATAGTCTTAACCAGTATTTGCATTCGTATTCCTATTAGTATGAGCATGATCATTAGTATTAGTATGAAGTAATTGTTTAGGGTTAATTAGTAGTTCTAGTCCGGATTTGTGTTTGTATTATAGGGCTTAGGGCTTTTAGGGTTTAGGGTTACCTGTACCCGGCGCGCGCATCAGTTTGGGTGTGTATGTGTAGGGTTAGTAGTATTAGTGTTATGCATGCCTGGCGCGCACATTGGTTTATTTATGGTTTGAGGGTTCGTGGGTATTGCTAGTATCAGTATTCGTATTAGTACTAGCACGTATTAATATTGGTGTTAGTATTAGTATTAGTATAAGTAAGTATTAGTATGATTATCAGAGCTACGTGCGCCCGGCGCGAGCTCGTCGGTTTGTCGGAATAGGGCGAGTACTTAGCATTAGCATTAGTACTAGTATTGGTATTTAATATTGGTGTTACACAACTCAGGCGCGCGCATCGGGTCAGTACTTGGTAAAATTTAGTTTTAGTATTAATATACTGGATCTCAGTATGTTAGTATTACAGTATGGGTCTTGTCACTCGCACCCGGCGCGCGCATCGGATGAGTATTTATCAGTATCAGTCGTAGTAGTAGGTAGCAGTAGTAGCAGTAGTAGCAGCAGTAGCAGTAGCAGTTGCTAGCAGGAGCAGTAGCAGCAGCAGTAGCAGCAGCAGTAGCAGTAGCAGTAGCAGAGTAGTAGCAGTATCAGTAGCAGTAGTAGTATCAGTACTAGCAGTAGTAGTAGTAGTAGCAGTAGTAGTAATAGCAGTAGTAGTAATAGCAGGAGTAGTAGTAGTAGTAGTAGTAGTAGTAGTAGCAGTAGTAGCAGTAGTAGAGTCGTAGCAGTCGACCTGACGGAAATAGCCCCCCCCCNNGTAGTAGTAGTAGTAGTAATAGTTACGCACACCTGGCGCGGGTTTAGGGTTAGTTGTTAGTCTTAGTTGTCGTGTCGTACTCGTATGCGTGCAGGTGAAGTTGCTTGAAGTGGTGCAAGTGGTATTGAATTAGGGGGGAGGGGGGGGGGTCATTTTGGTAATCTTGTTTGTGGTGCAAGTGGTATTGAATTAGGGGGGAGGGCGGATCATTTTGGTAATCTTGGTTGTGGTGCAAGTGGTATTCGCCCGCGGCCAGCAAGATACTGAAATGGCGCGCCACTCCCCCTTTGAGAAGCCAGACCACATGACCGTTCATTTTGCGCGCGTGGCCAAAGCAAAATTAACAAAACGACGCTTCATTTTGCCTGACCCTGCGGTTCAATCTTGCCAGCACACTCTACTATTACTACTTCGTCTATTGCTACTGCGAGTACCAAATCCTGCCAGGCGATCGGAGCGCAGCCGACCCTGGCATGGTAGCTCGGAACGTCTTTGGTTTCGGGATTGTCACTGGGGCACTAGGCTGCGCCAACAAGTAGAAGCCAACCGCGTCTGCTAAGGTGGTCGGCATGCTGTCAGGCATTAAAGATGAGACCATGGAGGAGATTCAGACTGAGAACCAAACCGAGGAGGAGGCCGTGGAGACGTTTACAGGAGTGAAGAAGTCCAAGAAGGTTGAGATCTCCACTCTCCTCAACCAGTTCGAGCGGAAGATGAAGAGGATAGGTGAGTTGAAGGTCGAGGTGGTGAACCTCGAACGCCAGCTGGCAGAGCAGGGCAGCTCTCTTGAGGATGATAAGCAGAGCCTTGATAAAGCTTGGGCTTCTTGTGAAAAACATAGAACAACAAATCCGAGCAATCGTATATAGGGCAAAACCCTTCGGAAGCCATGTGACTCAGGATGCTCGCAGAAGTGCAAAAGAGTTGCGCAAAGAAGGCAGAGGACTGGGAGAAGCGCCAGGCTGCCCGATTCTTGGCAAGCATCGAATCCACATCGCTGATCGGTCCATCTCGTAAAGTGCACTGCTTGGGCCACGTAGTTAAGTAGTTGTGTTTCGATGAACATGGTCTTGCGCCGAACGGCACTCCACGTCGGCTTGGCGAATGCCGGGCTGAAGCATACAACATGAGTGCAAACCGTCTGGTCAGATCAGATTTGTCAAGCTCCAAGGACAGGAAGAGCAGCTTGCTCTGCAGGACAATGCTAGCAGTCATCGGGCTGCTTCTTGATGCAAACTGCAGCTGAAACCCGCGGAGGAGACCATCAAAATCTTGAACTCGGACGAGTCGCTGGATCTCTTCCGAAAGCGCAGCACTTCCTTGATTCAGCTCTCCAGCGGCCGGGAGAAGGTCCGTCCCAAGCTCACCGTTTCTCGCAGAGCCGTCGCCCGGTGACTCGCAGGTTCGTCGCGAGGCTTTGCGCCTTCTCCGCGGAGCGAAGTCGGGTTCGAACCCGGAGCTGAACTTCCTGGCGTTGGCTCTCTCGGGCCGCAAGGCCCGTCACCGGAGCTGAGTCTGAGCCTTTTGCCTAATGTCCTGCACATGGCTGCAGGCAGACTTCACGAAGATTCTCAAAAAGATTGATGGCATGGTATCCCTGCTGGAAAAAGAGCAGGAAGACGACAAGAGCAAAAAGAGCTACTGCGGCGAGGAATTCCGCACCACAGAAGACAAGTCCAAGTCCCTAGACTCCAAGATCAAGTCGCTGAAAGCCGGCCTGGCAGAAAAGAAACAGGCGGTTGCAAAGCTCAGCGAGGACATTAAGGCTTTGCAAAGCGGCGTCACGGCCTTGGACGAGTCCGTCGCCAAAGCCAGTGAAAATCGGAAAGCCGAGCACGAAGAGTTCCAGGCCGTAGCAGTGCAAAGCATGTCCAAAATTTCCATAATGTAGGGCAAGCTGCTAAACCGATGCTCCTATCTTCTTCTGCTCTCGTTTCGCGGAATTTCCTTGGACTCCTGAGGAGAGCATGTCCTCGAATTCGGCGACGATCGATTTGCTGAGTCTGGCGCGCGACCGTCTCAACAAGGTGTACAACCCAACCATGGTGGCCGAAACCACCACGAAAAGTCCGTACGACCTCTCATTGCTTCAGATGTCGTCCAAAGTCGCACAACCTCCTCCCACCTTCGAGGGTGGCTACCAGAAAAACAATGAGGGAAGCAACGGTGTTCTGAAAATGATTGATACGTTGGCATCCGACTCTCGACGATGATAGGATGTGTCCATGCCGACTGTGTCAGTAGCGCAATCTGTTTCGAAACGCCCCGAGGATGTTGAGAAAGAAATGACAGTTGCCAAGACTGAAGAGGCCGATGCCCAGGAGGATTATCAAAAGACAGTGGAGGACTCGGACATGAGCTGCTGCTGTAGCGTGTTTCTGTGCACCGTGCGGTGTATTGCGGTGTTTCGCAAACCGGGAACTTTCCATTCGGACGCCGCCAAGAGCTGGGACCAATCTCCTACATGTCCTGGCACAGGACGCCGCCAAGAAGCGAGAGGCAGACCTAGCATTGGCCACACGGAAGGCCGCAGAAAAGTCGGAGGTTGAGAGTGACGTCAGTGACGACAAGCCGCCGGGCTCCACTACGGCCCTGCTTGTATCGTGTATCCTGTTTAGCTGTGTCGCAGCGCCACCATTGATTGTGCATGAGTCTTCGAGTGGCCTCGCCGCTCGCGGATGTAGCTGGGCTGGGCTCCCCTTAGATAAGAGGCACCTGCATTTTCGTGTGAAGCAGGAGCAGTGCAGCACAAGTTGAAAGCCCTTATTCATTTTCATCTCTTTCCCCTTGGGAATCCTTTTCGAAGAAGCCTGCCTGCCCCATCTGTAATGCCATCATGGCCTTTCCATACGACAGCTACCACACCTCAAATATGGTTTCAAGAGGACTTATTTGCTCGGTGGACATTCAGGGCACAAGATGTCAACTACTTATAGCACGACACAGTAGCAAGTCGAGGTGGATGGTGCAGAAAGTCAGACTCGGAAGCAACTTCCGAAATGATTGCAATCGCTAGGATATCATGCTCAGAGCAGAGAAAATTTCGGTTTTCTTGCAAGTATGAGGAAAGACGTGGACGGGAAGAAGAAGCAGTTGGCCGCCACACAGCGGTACACAGCTGATTTGCACCAGGAAACTCTGAAATATTGCTGGGATATCGGGATGTCTCTTACTCGTCGAACCCTCAGCTATCAGACAGTTGAATTCTCACGACGTGCAATATTTCTCCACAGCGAAGTTGCCAGCTGAAATGCGGACACTGTCAGTCGTGCTGTCGGGAAATTCGTTTGCAAGTGCTGCCCCATTCGCAAAGTTGTGATCGCCAGGAGTGTGACTGGCTCTTGCAGAATTTCGACCTGCGTGCACAAGCGCGTACTGAAGAGAAGGCCGCTTGGTTGCTGTGGTTGCTTCTGACCCATCTGAAACTGCAAATTATGCCGTTCAGTAAGCCCAGAAGCAGCCTTTATGATCGGTTTGTTTGACACCAAGGAAAGCTTGATTCGTGCGAAGACTGTGTTAGGCGGCATGTGATTACGGAGATCAGCTACCAGCAGCCTGAGAGAACGGCGTGCTTGACAAAAAAGCTGCGCATCATCCGAACCTTGCCATGCATCTTCCTCAGCTCATTAGCACGAAGCTGGCAGTGGAACTCCATGCTGGCAAAGAACCTTCTTACACCCTGAAATGTAAGTCATTTTCAGAATTCAAGGTCCGACGGGACGAGCAGCAAGCATCAGCCTCAGAGCAACCTCGTGTTCTCACGTCTTCGAGCCTGACTGGACTGTGCTGCTTTGCACTCACAGGTCACTGCACGCTGTCGCAAGTGCACCTGCATTGGCGACCAAATGTTCGAGCCCGTCAGGTCCAGAACTAGCTCAAGCTTCCTGATTACTTGTCTTTGCAGTTGCCACAGGCCCGGCATCACCGGCACCTGCTGGCCAGCCACGCTCCGTTCGCGACTTCTTTGATGCCACAAACGGCTGTTTGCAGAAGCTGGTGGCAGCACCTTGGCCGACTCGAGGTTCCCCGACGTTACGATTATGCGTGCATGCAAAGATTCCTCTAAGGAAAGCAATAGCAAGGCGGAGGCTGCCAAGTCACTAAGCACTCTTGCGATGGTCCTCTTGAACGTGCTGAAAGATCCCAGCTCTGAGAAGAACCGGAAAGTGAACACTTCCAGCTCGCGATTCAGCGAGATCTTCCGGAACAACAGCGCTGCCGCAAAGCTACTGCAACTGGCAGGATTTAATTTCCAGCATCCCAACTTCGTGTTTGGTGACCAGCAGGCGGAACAGAACACGGAGGATGCCCAACGTACCTTGGAACTCGTCCAAGACGCCCAAAGGAACTTGGACCAGACCTGGGCTTCCAGAGTGACAAACGCGGCGGGGCCAGCAGAGGAGGCCCGAGGGCACGCGCCCTTGGGAGAGGCTTCTCCAGCTCCAGCGCCTGGAGCCGCCGTTTCGGCAGCGGCCGCCTCAACGCCTGCACCGGCACCGGCGGCACCGGCAGCTGCGAGGCCCTGGGCACGGCCGTCGGCTGCACAACAATGGGCAAGCCAAGCCCGAGACATCCAAAGCGAGGAAGCTGCACAGGCGTCAACGTCCGCCAGCAGTTCCGCCCTGCCTGGGCCAACACCAGCGCACCCTGCAGAAACCTTACCCCCTGCCATAGCTCATCCCGCGGAAGCCCCAGGCCCCGCAGCTCCCGTGCCGCATCTTCCAAATCCAACCCCACCCCTCCTCACGGGTCCTCCCATGCAACAACAGCATATGCACTTACCCATTGCTCATCCAGCCCAAGCAGCTGCCGTCAAGGTCTCAGTTGATCCGAGCTGCTTTCGGCTTTGTCTTTGAGTACTGATGCATGGGCACAAGGGAAAATGTTTTTTCACCGAGATGTTCCTGGTTGAGCATGAAGTAGCAAAGGAGTTTAAGCTTCCGCGGCTCGTAAAGATCGTGTTTGTTCTGGGAGTGGCTCGTTGTTCCGAGTTTGACTTACCAGAAGTGTCGCTGGAGTGGATGCATCCCGTCGTGGGGATAGCTCTGACTCCTGCTAACCTGCTCATGTGACGCGGCCTTGCGAGGGTTTTACGGCTTTGGGTATTTCGGCGGGTGTGGGCTATGATGAGCTGTGCAGATGCCGACTCGTGGTGCAGCAAGTGCGTCGCAGAACTGCAGTGGAGCATGCATCGGCGAGATTTTATTCGGTGCATGTGCTTGTGTCAACACGTGAGGTCGTCACAGCAGCACACCCAGCGGAAGGTATGTCACAGCCGCCGGCACAGCCACAGCCAGCAGCCCATCCGGCCGAAACCCCACAAGCAGCGCACCCAGCGGAATCCCAGAATGCTCCTGCTGTTCAAGCAGCACATCCGGCAGAGGCACATGCTGCCCACCCCGCAGAAGTGCCGATGGCTCACCCAGCGGAGTCGACACACGGTGAGATAGCGGCACCAGTCGAGTCTGGCGCATCCGAAGAGCCTCAAAGCGGAGGTTGACGAGTGTGCGCTTTCCGCAAAAAGGCACCGCCCCAGCCATCATGCAATGATGGTTTCGTCTTGGAGTTGCCGATATCTGCCCCAGAGTGCACCAGTGATGAAACTACGAGATGCTCTCGAAAGGCTGCACCTCTTAGCAACTCCAAGACTATCATGTCAGGGACTAGAGGTATGTCGGCACCTGGTCTAAGACCTGTATCGAACTAGTTCAATGCTCCGCTGAACTTCGTGTTTTCTGGGGTGGTGGGGTGCAGTTTGAGGCTTCTGAACCACTCACCGAACACACATGCATCACTTCGATGGCACGAACAAGTGACAAGGCACGATATTGAAATCAACAGCAAAAATTGCTAATTCGGAATTGTGCGCTCGGCACTTCTTCCGCACTACATCCATGCGCACGTTATAGTGGTTTGAAGTGCGATCGTGCTACGTGCGAAGCTCAACGATAGAGTGCCTGAGACATTTGCTTGCCGCTGCATGCTGGATCTCAGCCAGTCCATCTGTATTGTGAGCCTGCGGCTCACACGTTCTACTTCAGGCAGGTCTGCCTGCCCGCCTGCGCTCACCGAGCTGCCGAGAGCACGATGAGGGATACAGCGGCAGAGAACTATAATTTACTGAGCACAACGTGTGTTTTGAGCAGGTCTTGCCGCTTTGCTTTCAGCAATTCTCTTCAACATGGCTGCCCCCTATGCAGACCCAATGGCACAGCATAAACCCCAGGCACATAGACACGAGTGAGAGGTAGAGCGTCTGACATTGCAGTCTCCAATTAAGGCAAGGTTTCCAACAGCCACTTCTGCACGGTCCTTGGAGCCTGGTATCCTGTGTTGGGAGCAGACCACGGGCTTTGACAAGGCACGTCCCGCAAAAAGTAGCTGCCTAGGCAGCAAGGATACCAGCCCGCCGCGATGCCATACGCAGCGCCGGCACCTTGGAATTCCGGTGAAAACACATGGCTCCTGCTTAGCTGTTTCGTGCGGGCACGGGACCGGATGTGTGGCATCTGCTCCGCGCTTCGAGGCAAGGATACGGTGACCAGCAGGCCGCAATGTCGTATGCAGCGCCTGCACCTTAGAGCTGCGCTGAAATCGCAGAACTCGTACGGGTGCGGCACGGAGCACATAAGTCGTCTTCCCTCACATGCTGTAGTTCATCATATTTAATCCATTCTGTATTGAGGCAAGGATATGGAGACCAGCAGGCCGCGATGTCATATGCAGCGCCCGCACCTTAGAGCAGCGCTGAAATCGCAGAACTTCTCGAGGTCGTACGGGCACGGAACACATCAGTCGCCTTACCTCGCATGATGCATGGCATCTATTCTGCATGGAGGCAAGGATATGGAGACCAGCAGGCCGCGATGTCCTATGCAGCGCCCGCACCTTAGAGCAAGACTGAAATCGCATGGCTCCTTCCTTCTGCTGGTGTCGGCTCGGAACGGATCGGTCGCCTTCCGTCACATAGTGTGCGGCATCCACTCTGCAATGAGGCAAGGATATGGTGGCCAGGCCTGATTTTCCCGTGTTTTATTCCTAACTGTGCTTCACTTCAGAAAGCCAGAGAGGCATTCGTTAGCAACACGGAGCTCGACCAACCTAAAGGGCTTTCAGTTGAGAGAACCCCGCCAACCCCCGGCACGCAAAGATGGAAGTTGCCGTTCTCACTAGGAGCCCGGTTTCTCCACCCGAATAGTATGCGAGGGTACCAGAAAGCTAGTTTATTACTCTGCGATCAGGCAGTGTAGGACTCTTTGTCGGTTCGGGCGGGATTCTAGCTAGGTTCTGGGGGGTGAGATTTTGATTAATTTTTTTTGTAAGGTGAACGATAATTACTCTGTCTGCAGGGCGTGGCACAAGATCCACAGTCTGCCAAGCAACAAAAGAAGTGGCAGAAGGAGCAAGACAAGCGCTGCGGACTCGGCTTGCCGAGACGTTGTTCGGTTTCGTGACTTTGACAAACAAAGGTCCGGGCAATGCTTGCATGCTCATTTGCTTTCTGCGACGCCAGGGTTTAGCTGCCTGAGGTCAGCGCCTTGAGAGGGTCCGCGACGCTCAGACGATGCTCGGCCTTTATATGTTGCACTGGAGAAGCAGATTGGGATTAGTGATTAGTGCATGTAAGCATGATGGTTTAAGATTCTGCTGTCGTTATTACTTGTTTTATCCGGGCTGGGCCTTGCTATCTTGCTATAAGGAAGCAGGCCAAGTCGGATAAGGAGAATTTCTTGATGTTCATGCTTCTTGGCCAATTCCGCTTGTGGCGCATGTCAATGCGCTTTCGCTGTGACATCATGAGACAGTCCAGACATGTCCAGACCAGGTCCGCGGCTTTGATTGGCCTTGGTATCCTGCTTGCCTGGTCCTTGGCTGGGAGATACCCGACAAAGTAGCTTGCATTGTTGCAGACATTTCGAAGAGCCTAGGGCCTCACCATCGTCGGACCGTCGTGGGGCCAGTCGCCTGAATTATGGGCTTGTGGTAACATGCACAGAGAAGTCCATGGGCTGGCAATAAGACACCGGGCAATGTGTTGGCTCAAGGTGTCAAGGAATTCACCGGCTTGGGTCTGCCCCCAAGTTCAGATCAAAGGAAAGTGTCATAAGTGCCGGAAGAACCATGACCTTGCTCGACGCTATCTCACTTTCTCTTTCGCTCTGTCTTTCTCTCTCTGTGTCCGTCTGTGTCTCTCTCTCTCTCTCTTCTCAGCTCTTTGCCAAGAGCTGCCGCTTTACCATGTTTTTTGCTCGCGGGATCAGGTATCGGCCTGGTGAGCATGAAAACATCTCTCTTCAAGATCGAGGCACGGCTGAGACTGCCGAACACTCGCAAGCCTTCTCACCCTCTGCAAGCGAGCCACTGTCAGATTGACGTCTCCTGCGACAAGTCGTTCGTCTTGGAGAGAGTCGCCTGCCGGGTGCATCCGCCTGCTTCGCATCTATGTCTATGTGCTCACGTCGTACCGGTTTCGCGTTGCCACGTACCCCGACTCTGCTTTGCATGCCAGAAAATAATGAAGTGGGACGGCGTCTTTGACCTTCAGTCGGCTCAGGCAGGGATCCGTTGCGAGGTTGGTTGCAACCTTCAGCTACTCTTGCTGCTGCTGCTGCTGCTGCTGCTGCTGCTGCTACGACTACTACTACTACTACTACTACTACTACTACTACTACGTACTACTACTACTACTACTACCGAAGTCGTAGCGCGTGTAAGTAAATCATTGCAGACACTCGGGGGAACGAAAACCATAAGTCGTAACATTCCGCGGTCTAAGGGCTAGACTACTCCCCTTGCCAAAGCCCCTGAACGTAAGAGCACCATATACATCCCACACCCTACAATGACGCAGCTAAGTCGCATCATGTTTTTTGGATCCCAGCCCACACTGGGGGGAAGCACTGCGGGGGTCGCATCACCGAGCGTCTACTTGGGGATTCGTGATCACGTTGATTCGGGATTGTTGAGGTTTGATCGCTGAAGCTGAATTACTCCCAGTTGCCTAAGTCGTTGCATTTTGTTTGTGGCAGCGGCAGACACTCGGTGAAAGCTTTTTTGTGAGGTCGTTGCGTTTCGGTGTGCCCATGCCAATGATGTACGTCTCGCGTGGGCGCTTGTGGAATCGAGCGTCTACATGCGTCTACATGGGGAATGGCTGGTTTTGATGTGTTGTGATGCCACTTGTGTCTCGGTTGGTGCTTGCGAAATCCAGCGTCTACAAGGGGAATGGCTGGTTGTGATTTGCTGCCCAAGCTTGCGAAGACGTACAAATTCACAGGGATGGGTACTTATGTGGCATCAAATCACACCCGAGGGTTTCGTTCAACTCCATTGACTGATCTGCGACCTGGTATCGTTCATTCTGACGTAAATCTCAAGAGTAGGCTATGAAAGTGGCCACAGACCTTGTATCGTTTGGAGTGAGTAGTTACATTTAAGAGAAAGCCGTGCGTCACCGTCCTTTTTAGGCTACCGTTGCTGCTGCTGCCGCTGCTGTAGTCGTAGTCTTAGTCGTAGTCGTAGTCGTAGTCGTAGTAGTAGCCGTAGT